AATCCTAGTTGAGTCAGATTTATGCATACTTCGAACACACTAGACGTATTTTGGTGCTGAAATATAAGCTAAAGACAAGTTGGGAACTAAGAAAAGTCTTTTCTTGCAGTTTGTATGGCATGCACACTAGTATTGGCGCGTTGTGGTCCCCACCTGTGCGCTACATGTAGAGGCACGCTAAATAGACGTATTCACATTCACATTATGAGTGAGGAATAATATACGTAGTTTGAAAGCGAAATCAGCATGCACAATCATAGCCTGTCAAAGTTCCTTAGCTATCCCAGCTCGGGATGGTGGCATCACAATCCAAATTGGATTATCCAATACACACAAAGATGGATCTGAACACGCCATGGACAGGCGCTGTTGGTCATACCTTTATAGCAAAGGTCAAACGCTTGCTTCGACCTCCGTGGCAACCTTGGTGCGCGCGGTGCTCAAACGCACTCGGCGTGCTTTGCCCAACAAGCTGCCAGGACTTAACTCAACTTGTCTTACAATCAAACCAAGAGCAGCCGCGTACAAGACTCAGGCTCTCTTTAGCTACCAGAGTACGCATGTCTCTTTTTTGGTCCACCAAAATTCACACACAGAACGGCGGACTTAACTCACACTTCTCTTATGTGTACCATGTTCGCTATCTCACAGCACATCCCCACAACTTCAATTCACAGCACTAGCTCAGTGATCTGATCAACAATCGTGACACTCAAGAAAATTAGCAAAATTGACGCTGGTCGTTGGGTAGCCGTCCTCGCCATCTCAATGAAGTCGGCCAGTTCATCATATGTCAGGAATCATATGACCTGCTGATGATTGTGGCTGAATCGGTGCCAGATTTTCATCTCTTTAGTCTGACACCCAATTCTAATTGCACTTTTCTCATTGAATCTCACAGCACATCAGTGATTATCCATCGACCTCCAGCTGTGTAAACTTGAAAGGTGCAAGTGAAACATCGAGAAGAAGCGACATCCATTCAACTGTACTGCATTTGGGATGCCTTGAATTGAGATGATCTCAAGTTTCATCAATTAAAGTTGATCATCGGATTGTAAATTAGTAACTGACAGAGCCAGCTGGCTGCAGGATAGTGGTCAATTACTGGTGATCTGAAAAGGCTATATTAAAGAACGAAATGACTATAGGCATTGGACGCAGCAAATGTAGAGAATGGCTCGGCTTATTTGTTGCCTCTCATCCAAATCAATGTACTGTACATCGGTTCAACCGTTAAAGTTTCTTATGTAAGTTAATTTCAACGCTCATTTGTGAATCAGATGACTGATAAATTTGTATTCATTGAGCTGATTAACCCATTCCAATGCTTGGAGGCAAATTGCATGTGACCTTAGTAAAATGAATTCCTGGTATTTACAGTTCTTGAATAATTTTGGTTGAATTCAAATCAATCATTACATTTCAATCCGTTTCCGTACCATCCGATGATATTGATTGACGTTGTTTATGGTATTATTTGGTCATTAAATTGTGTTTGAAATTCAATGCCGTTCTTGAAACACAGAAGAATATGAGTAGTTATGTGTACCCTTGTGATTGCTTGTTAAACATCGATATGGAATACATAAGTTCCTTGAGCTGTGTAGTACGAGCGCATTGGATATCTTTGACCTAAGCGATTTGACAGAAATCGAGCACACATGAACCAATCGTGTCTTTAGGGAAGACATTGCATTGAATTCTGCATGCTTAATGTCAAAATAATGTTAAGCTCAGACCCCACCTCCACAGCTTTGTACGACCTGTTCCTCTTTCTCTTTGTAAAAATTTTACACCTCCACAACTTGGCACTTATATCTCTCTTAGACGTTGGGAGGGAAAGGCGGGATGTGGCCTCGAGTACATTCACGAATCTTACCCCCTCCAACCCCTCCTTAGCGTCAATCCTAATTTCGACGCCAGGCTGGCTCAACAACGTTACCTCATAGTGTGACACACCTTCGATATGTTTTGAATGAGAAAAACGCAGCCAGGTTGCAGCGACTGTAAAGGGGTCGAAAATGGAATGGCAAGGCCATGTTGGACAGTGTGAGCAGCCCCAAAGGCTGTGAATTGATCCATTCTAGGGATTGTCTTGAAAATTAAATGCTCCAAGGAGGTATTGGAACAAGTCATGAGCTGGATGCCGCTGATCAGCGATGGTTTTGCGCATCTTACCCTCTTCTTTTGATTTTAGTACAATTACATAGTCTCTGAGCATCGATGGCTGGGCCCCCCCCTGTTAGCATCACTTTGATGCTAACTGTACGAAAATCAAAAAATGTCTTCCCTTTATATGCTGTGAGTGACCCAGAGGCAATATCAGTCATTGGAGCTATGTACTGAACTATTCCAAGTGTTCGTACTCGAGAAATCAAGAGCTTCTCTTAATGCAATAGCAGTGCAGGGTGACCATGGCGCAGTCACTTCAATTTGAAGCGGATTGCAGTGCACGCTTGAGTCGATCATGCGTCCTGGAAATATTTAACATAATCCATGTACATGATGGTGAAAATGCCCCCACAACCCTTGTGAATAGACAACATATGAATTATTGTGGTGCCAAGAATGGATCACTGTTGGTCAGCATGGATCCACACCTTCGGAGGCAGCTGCGATTATCCAGGATTGCCCAAGATTCCCAAGACTCTGATAGACGTTATTCATGCTGAACACAATGTGTCTGGTGCACGAACTTCTTGCGTTTGTCTATCTGCCCTTAACTGCCCCGCTGCTTGCTTCAGAACGGGCATGACATGGAATGGCAGCTTAAAAGAAGCGGATCGGTGCTTGTTGAACTTCGAAGTTGTTGGATCCCAAGTTGCTTCCTTCCTTCTTTCCATGGTAAGTTGATCATTGCCCGCACTGGTGCTGACGCCTTGAAGTCGAAGTCGTAGGAGTTCACTGAAGTTCTTGCCTTATCAATGAAGTTGCATTTTGAAGAAATGCAATTCATTGGCGATTACAACAGAGTTGGTGAGGCCACAATCAATTCAGATTCTGGTTGTTCGATGCTTCCTTGTAAAATTGCACACAGCAGCCCATCTGTGCTGCTCTTGCTTATTGTGAACTTTCGTCCTTTTGGTTCCTCATTGTGAATGGTGGCATGTACAATCCTTTCCCTGGTGGCTGGTCGCATTGCTCTTCTGGCAGAAGACTTCTGCCGATCTTTTGACAACATAGCTCAGCTGTTTTCGGTGCAATGGTAAACCCCTGGCTGCACAGCAAGTGTGGAGGGGCATGCAGCCCTTGCATGGATTGAAGGACCAATCCTGGACAACACAGAAATTGTGTCAGGGAACATAGATTCTCATACAGCACAGGCCCCTGCCAGCCAAGCATTGCTGCAAGAAAATTCGAATTCCGACCCTTGGGTTTCGCATTGGCAAAGCTCGGCCATTGGTGCGGGTTCACCCCAGGGGCAGGCTGGCTGATGTCTTGCCACCTTCACACGATTCTGGCGCTGGCAACCCTGGCGCTGGCCCCCCCTTTCCTGCATCGTTTCGATTACCGTCGGTGCGCTTACCATGATCCCTCTACCGCGATCCCCAAGGCGCTCCGCAGCGGTGCTGTGCGGAGCACCGCTCCCTGTGTGCACCGCCGTCCTGTCCCATAGCGGTGGGCGCTGCCGCATGAGGCCGCCCACGTATCGCAAGTATCGTCCATGCCGCCAAAATTTTGAACATTTTTGTTCGCGGGAATAGTCCATCTGGGATCCTACGGGGTCCCAGATCCAACGCAGGCCCCGCTGGAGACGAGAGCCCGTCTCTCTGTGTGCACCGCCGTCGTGTCCCACAGCGGTGGGCGCTGCTGCGAGAGGCCCACATACCGCAAGTACCGCCCCTGCCGCCAGAAAGTTTGAACATTTTTTTTCGCGGGAATAGTCCATCTGGGATCCTACGGAATCCCAGATCCAACGCAGGCTCCGCTGGAGACGAGAGCCCGTCTCTCTGTATGCACCGCCGTCCTGTCACACAGCGCTGCCGCGTGAGGCCCACATATCGCAAGTACCTCCCATGCCGCCAAAAAGTTTTGCAAAATTCTTCGCAGCCACAGCCAATCTGGGATCCAATGGGATCCCAGATCCAACGCAGGTCCCGCTGGACAACGAGAGCCCGTCTCTCTGTGTGCACTGCCATCCTGTCCCACAGCGGTGGGCGCTGCTGCGTGGGGGCGCCCACGTATCGCAAGTACCGCCCATGCCGCCAAGAGTTTTAAACAACTTCTTCGCGGGAACAGCCCATCTTGGAACTAACGGGATCCAGATCCAACGGAGGCCCCGCTGGAGATGAGAACCCGATCCGTTACGCTGAGAACGTCGGCTGGGGCGGATCGTCACCAGCAACCCCAGAGAGACCTGCGACCTTGGACAACCGTGGATCGTCTGCGACTCGAGGAATGCGACCCACCTTCATGCAGCGTGCTTCGCCAAGCCCATGCGACGTCTGAGCCTCCATCGCCGGCCGCCGTTGCTGCCTTCCGACTACGCCCGCTGGCCTTCCCGTCCCCAGCGGGTGGCTCCGTGGCCTGCAGGAAGCCCGTGACAGCCCAGCTGTCACGATCGCCGGTGCCACAACTTAGGACCTACAGCCAGTGATCCACGCTGTCCCCGTCAGCACAATAGCATGGGATCCGCACACAGAAAGACTGAGGGACTAATATATTCTCAAGTTTTACATAACAAGCCGGGCGCTAGGCGTCAGCTTCCTCTCGCCCAAGCAAGCAGCGCCCGCGATTTGCTCATTGAAAACTAATGTACGACGCAGCGCTGTCCTCGCACCAACGAAACGCACACGTAACCCATCAACCTCACACCTCAAAAGCATCGTCCTGCAGGATCCCCCTAGGGCTATATATTGGACGCACTCCGCTCGTACACCCGCTTCCCGCCGGTGCGCCTCTCGCGTGGCGGCTCTCCGCGGCATCCGAACCTTGGGGCCTGGTGCTCCGGCACCAGCCCTTGAGGGAGCGCTCCTTGGCCATCGACCACCCCCGCGATGCCGTTCCCCGTGGCGCTCTCCGCCTTGACCCTGGCCTGCGTGGCCACGGGCCTCAAGCAGAGGCACGGCGCGGCAAAATCTCCTCCGGAAGGCGAAGACCCGGATCGGCAATGCAAGCCAAGCCCCCCGCCGCCCACCTTCACCGTCCTGACGGCCCTGTGGCCGGCCACCCTGATTCTGCTTTTGACTTGCGCCCTGGGCTACGGGGCTTTGAAATGGGGTCGCTCGGGCCCCCCCGCGTTTGATTGTGCCCCGGCTGACATGGCCGAAAGGATCACTCTTTTCGAAAAGATGGTGCGCGCACACGCGGTGGACTCGACCGACCAGCTGGTGCCGGCGATCTTCGACCAGGGCCTGTTCCTGAGGTTCGGCTTCGACGAGCTGGAGGCCAACCGCAGCTTCGAGGAGGCGGTGGGGCGGGATCCCGACTGCGCGATGTGCTGGTGGGGCCTGGCGTACGCCAATGCGCCGAATCAGAACAAGGTGCCGGGCGTCCCGGGCGGGCCCTTCCCGGTGTTCTCGGAGGCGGACTCGGCCCAGGCGGCGGGATGGACATCGCGCGGGCTGGAAATCGCCGAGAGGAAGCTCAAGGCGGATCCCAAATCGGAGGGACTGGGTCGCGAGGCGGCGTACCTGCGGGCCATGGGGTCCAGGTTCCCGCCGTCCGGGCGGTGGTCGGGGCACGCCCAGCTTGCCGGGGAGGTCAGATTCGCGCAGATGATGCTCGCGCTGGGGACGAGGGGGACCGGCGACGCGGACGCGCTGGCCATGGCGGCGGAGGCGCTGATGAATCTGAGCCCATGGGAGTACCACCTGGGGGTGGGAGAAAAGCAGCCGGACGTCAGCTGGAAGGGGATCTGGGGTGATCTGGTGCGCAACGCGCAAGGCGGGCTGGAGGACGATCCGGGGGCCTTCGACGTGGATTTGTCCGCGGCCCTGCCAGACTTGACTTCGGTGCGCGGGCGCGAGGTGACCGCCACGGCGATGAAGCGATCGGCCAGGCTGGCCGAGCGGCTGCTGCTGAGGGTGCTGGAGATGGACCCCGACCACGTGCTGGCGCTGCACCTCCACATCCACATCACGGAGGCGTCGACGCCGGGCAGGGGAGCCGGGGGAGCGGAGATGGGAGAGGCGTCGGCGGACAAGCTGCGCGGGATCATGCCCAGGCTCGGGCACCTGACCCACATGCCGTCGCATAATTTTTTGAGGATGGGCCGCTACGGGGACGGCGTCGACGCCAACCAGGAGGCCTGGGAGATGGACCTCCGCCACTCCTCCAAGTGCGTGTCGCCCTACCTGCCCGAGCACAACAACAACATGCTCATTTACTGCGCGAGCATGGCCGGGATGCTGGGCGCGGCCCAGCGCCAGGGCCAGGCCGCCCGGGACGCGCTCGGCAAGCTGTACCCGCCCTACGTCGTCGATGGCATGGACTGGGCACCCCTGGTCACGGTGTGGCTGCGCTTCGCGCAATGGGACAGGCTGCAGGCGATGGAGGAGCCCCCTTTGGACGCCAGGGGCTGGATTTCCCAGGGGGGGTACAAGTTTTCTGTGGCGCTGTGGCGCTTTGCACATTTCTTGCTGCGGGCGGCGGACCTGGAGATGCCGAAGATCGAGGGCGGGAGCCGGGCAGCGCGGAAGCTGGCAGCGAAACTGTCCGATGAGAAGGTGGCTGCAGAGCGAGCGTTCCTGGATCTGAAGGCAGTTGTGGAGGAGATTCCGGAGGATGTGAAGACAATGCCCGGGCAGGGGGTTGGGATCTACACACAGGCTTATGGGGCGCTTGCGAGAATCATGTACTTGCAAGCCTCAGCAAAGTGGGAGCTGTTGAGAGGCAATCCGGTGAGTCAGTGAGTGTCATTCTGGTGTGGGGTCAAGGTGGTTTGGGCAGAAATTGGCTGTCCATGCCCTGGAAGCTGCCCTTCTGAGCACAATGTCTTGATATTATGCTGTGGAGAGTGGTGACCAGTGCACTACGGCATCTGGCGTTTGCCTGCACTTGTGACAACAAACTGGATGAATGAATCCTTAGCAGCAACATTAAGAGCAGGCACCGATCGTGGCACTTGCAGTAATCAAAGTCGGGTGCAGCTGTATCATCGTTGTACTTGCAGCAATTCACATCAACCTCACATTGGACAGGAAGCACTGAACAATGTGGGCCTAACAAGTGACATCTGCTAAAATGGGATTGGACCGATGCCATGCTTGTCCCTAAACATTCGAACCATTCATGTTGCCCTGTATCATCTTGGAGCTGAGTACAGGAAAAGTGTATCCACTCTGAGAGATACAAAGACACACTGGTATAGACAGAACGTGCCACTGATGGACACATTGTGCTCATCCACACTTATGGGTTCTCCTTGCAAGTGTGCCTGTCCATCTCTGTCCCCAACTGATCCAATGTCACCACTTGCACAGGACGTGGCCGTATCATCGATGGCCGAAGCAGTGAATGTATCAGACGCACTTGGGTACATGGAGCCACCGAGGGAACACCAGCCCAGCCGGCAGTGCTTAGGTTGGGTGTTGCTTCAAGTAAGGGTAATTCACTGTCTTTGAATTTATTACCGTTTGTGTTTCCATGAGCCAAGCTGTTCAATGCAGTCAAGTCTTTTCGAGCCGCAAGGCTGTGCTGTTCACTGTATCAGGCCATGTTAATCCGCGCAACCCTGCTATCCGTTTGGTTTGCAATGAACAACAGAAATTCCTTTACCATACCAATGAATTGGCATCCACAAAAGAGAGTGAGAAAACCCAAAAGCAGCCCAAGGATATACCTTGTGTGTGTGCAAACACGCAAGCGTTGGTCCGTTTCGAACAAGGTCAATGAGCAGAAGCCATTTGCGGCAGGCTGGGCGCCCCGATGAAGCTGAGGCTGTGTACAGAAGGGACCTTTGGGAGTTTCCCGAAAATGCATGGTCCCTGTTGGGGCTGGCACAGAGCCTTGAGGCCCAGGGACCGGATCGCAAGGAAGAGGCGGACGCCGCTCTGGATCGGCACAGGGCCGCTTGGCGAGGGGGGCAGGATGGCGTGCGACTGACTTCCAGCTGCCCAATGCTGTCCTCAAGGGCATCATGACGTGACACGGTGGACGCACGCGTGGCTTTTGCCTTGAATTGGCCATTGTGAGCCTGGCCACACCCAAAGTGGCATGTGCGAACAGGAGCTACGAAGTGTTCGGTGCACGAGGCACAATGACTTGCAAAGAAAGCTGTGCTGCGTTGAGGAGGCGGACGCGAGGAAGATATTGTGTTTTGGCTTCTGTGAATGACCCCGTGAATTGTGGGTCTTTGGATAGGGCAGGTTTTCTGGTCTGTTGGATGTCGCTGAACTTTAACGTTCTGCAGCGCATGAGGGCGGGGTGGGTTGACAGACGTTTCTTCTCTATTTAAATATTGTAAGTGCGTGAATGTGGTGCCGTTTACGTAGTTTACGGAGTGGGCTAGCTTACGGGAGGCCCGGACGCGGGTGGGCGCGATTTGTGGTAGCACTGGGAACACCTGCACAGTCTGGTGGCCCGGTCCATGCGGCCCTGGGGCCAGTTGGACTGGAACTGGCACTGCGCGCTCGCGGCCCTTGAGCTGGGCTGTGGACTTAGGCGCGCGCGCCCCGGGCTCACACCTCGTTTTCACCCACCCAGCCGCAACTTGGGATGATATTATCATTGTTTGTGTGCGCTCGGAGTACTTGTACGGGGACCGGACATGGCATGTTTTTCCTGAACGCATGGCCATGGTGACAAACGCTTGGCGCTTGTACTATGTGATATCATTTCATTGGTGAGATGTACAGTGCGTAGCCGGACGTAATGTGTGGTAAAGTACGAGACAGTTCATTTGACGAACCTGGAGGCAGCGCCCTTCGAACCTCGACTGGACGAAGCTGCAGTTTGAGCTCTCGAAGTCTCCCTCCTTCCCCCCTTGTGGTTGCGCGTCTGTCTGGCGCGACCCTGCCCACCACACTCGGCGAGCGAGCAGCAGACTTCCTGCAGCGCTCAGCATCTCCGCTCGAATCACTGGATATTCAGCCCTAGGAGAGCGCAAGACTTTCACCAGCCCGCCCCAGGTACTAAAACTAATCCGCCGCAGGCTGACCCCCAGCAACCCCGTAAAAAGCCCACCACCGCCCGCCCCTCCCCCCCCTCCTCCCCTCCTGCGTACTGGCACAGTTCTTCAGGATGCCGGATTGACATGGTCGTAACCGAATGGCCGGAGGCGTCCGCGACTCCATACAAAACGACCCCGGGCTTGACACAGGCAACACGCCCTGCCCCGCACCCGCCCACGCACCCCCCCACACCGCTTGCCCGCCCGGGGCTCGCCCACCCCCCCCCCTAGCCCCTCCCCTTCCGCCTCTCAGCTCATCCCCCCCCCCTCCCCCCCCTCTCCCTCCCCCAACTCCGCAATTTTTCATAAGCCCTTCTGTTTGCCGCATTGCCCGCCCGGAGGCTGAAACTGACCCGCGGCGCCGCCCCCCGGGGCACCTTTTGCCTCTCCCCCGCCTGGTGGTACGCGATCCCGCGGGCTGCGCGGCGCGCGTGAAGCGGCGCCTACAGGACAAGGCCGGCATCCCCGCCGAGCAGGGCGGGCTCGTCTTCGGAGGGTCGGGCAGACGGGGCGCCTGGCGCGCGCCGCCGGGGCGATTCGCGGCGGAGGAGATCCTCGGGGAGCCCGCCGGCTGGCAGGTGGGGACCCGCGCGATGCGGGGCTGGGCGCTGGCGGTCGCCCGCATCCAGCGCCGAGCGTCCTGGCCGGCCGAACCTTGGGTTGGCGGGCTGGAGCGTGGGTCAGGGCCCCCTGGGTGGCCCGGCGCGTGGGATGGAGCATTGGCCCGAGGGTGGGAGCTGGCCGGGCGGTCGATCGCGCTGCGGCAGCCGCGGAGCGCGTCCTTCCCTTTTATTTTCCATTTGCGGATTAATGCGCCTTTGTTTTTGCGGGTGGGGGCGGTGGGTGTGTGTGTGGGCTAGGGAAAGTGCGGGGGATGGGTGTGACCCCGGGGGGGTGGCCGGACGCTGGCGTGTTGTGAGGGGAGGGGATCTCTGGCGGGGTGGAGGCCGCCGTGCGCATGGGCCGACCGACGTCCGAGGAAGCCGGTGCCGGGTCGCCGAGGGCGCGGCGCGGCACCCGGTGATCGAGCTCGCCCGGTTGTTGAAGGCTCTGCGTACGCCGCGGGCGGGCTTCATGGCGGATTGCTCGCGCCCGGCATTGGCCCCTTGGTGGGCTTTGCGCCGTTGGTTGCTCCCCGCCGCGGCCATCGGAGACGCGCGATGGGGCGCTCTGTGCGAATGGTGGCCGGCAGGCGTCCGCCCCACGTCCCTCCCACCGCACCGCTGCCCTGGTACACCGACCACGCCAGTCACTGCTGGGCTCACTCTTCGATCTCGTAGTGCAGCGGCCCGCAGCCGCCCGTTTCAGCGGCGCCTGAACTCACACCCGTCCCCAGTCGATCTTTCCACCACTCGGCACTCACCCTGACTCCTTTCCTCACTCCCGCCCCGCCACCCCCGGGCGATCATCTTCCAGAACCGCAGGGCGATCGACAGCCTTGTGCACCGCACACTAAAGACGACTGGGGTTGCTGATCAGGGGGCTTAGGACGCGGAGGCTTGGCGGGACCGGGTCCTGCTGGTGCAGCGCTACCACACTTGCACTCGAGCGGCGGCGGCCAGCCAAGGCCAAGGGCCAGGCAGGGGGCCAAGGTCGGGGCGCTGGGGACTCTCGGCCCCTCTGCCTGCCAGTGGGCTCGGCCCTGAACGCCTCCATCTTCGAGATCCGGTTGTACGGGAGGGTGAAGGGCAGAGCATTTGCTGTATTCCATCCGTGGCTGGTAGACAGGGCCCTACGTGTTGCTGCGCGAGCAGCAGGTGCAATACGTGCAGAGGCACAGGCAGTCCCGGCTAGGCACTGCTGGGGAGAGCAGCCAGGAGGCCTTAAGCGCATTCCTCAGGAGGATACATCCATCCGTTGTGGTGAGCCTCAATGTCAGGGATGCTGGCAATTTCCCTTGATGCTTGTTTTGTGCGAATTTCTGAACCAGTGTTGCTGATGTAATGTACAACAGCTTCCGTGCTGTGTTGCACAGCAAAGGTGCTGAACCTGTGTTCACCTTCATTGTTGTAAGTATTGCACGCACCCCAAGCAACTAAGGGTGAACAGAGTATGGGAATTCTGCTGAAGCTTTGCTCACCAAGAAATGTTCCAGTTGGTCTCCGCCTTTGTTGGATGTATCTTGTGCGCAATCCAATGGAATTAGTGGCTGAAGATGCAGGAGAGGTGTATGTTCGCTGGTGACAGCGTCTTACAAACTGATTGTGCTGCCCAGGAAGCAGCGGTAAGTCCTGCATCGCTCGTTTTTCAATCAAGGAGGCCCACCCCAGCCTGAAGAGCGTGGTCTTGACATTCGAAGTTGTGCCAAAAAACTTGGTTAGCCTGGAGGCGGGGCCCTCCAGTGAGGTGGCAGGCCCACAGCCATGGAGCAGAGTGGTAGAGAGCCTGGGACAATGACAGGGGCAGCGGTGAGCACACAGGTCACTGACTTATCCTGTGAGACACAAACGCGGGAAGATGGGGACAGCATCATAGGCCAGGGTGGTGAGAGAGGCGAGGCAGTGGTGGCTGAAGTATGGACGCCCACAGGCCATCAACCTGGCCATGCTGGCCAGATGGGGGTCATGAACCAGGCCAACAGGGGCCGGAAGAAGCCTAAGAAAAAGAAGACTGGAAGAGGACCTGGTGCGCCTCTGGGGAGGGGCCAAATCGATGGGCAGGTGTTGCAGCATCCAGGCAGCCACCAGTTACCTGCACAGGCATATATGCATACAGCCATGCATGTGTCCACAGGTCCAGCAGGCAGAGGTGTAACCCACGGCCCTCGAGCACCCACCCCCACACACCATGCAAAGAATGGTCAAGCTTCGGGGCCAGGTAGCAAGCCAAGGACGCCCCAATCTCAACCTGCCCATATTCGAGGGGATTCGAACGACTTCAGGCAGAGGCAAGGGGCCCCTGGGGCGATGAGCAGTGATCGGCCGCCAGCTGCCAATGGGGCATTAAAGTTGGTGGAAGAACTGCTGAGCAACCTCAACCTCAACCTCAATCGCTCCAGGCCAGACAGTGCTGAGAGGGTTGAACAAGGAGTCCAGCCAGCCATGGCACCGGAGGAGCCCATGCGATTAACTGACACCGCCAGGAGCTCAGGTCACTGCTCATTGATTGCCACTCCACAAGGGGTGCTAGTTCTGTCTTTGCCTATGTGGTTGTGAACATGGCTGTGTCGACCGGACATGGTGACAGACGATGATAGAGAAGAAATTGTACACAATGTTGGCACACAGTGGTTCCTCGATCGTGGTTAGGAATGCTGGCACATTGAAGTTGCAAGCTCACCATATCAGCTTCAGGCTGATGCTGGGCAGCCATGATTGTCCATCAGTGGATTCCTGCACTGCAGGTGCACGTGGTCTGCTGTTGGCGGCATGAATCTGAATGCGCTGCCCACAAAGCTTGTGGGTGGTCTGAATCATGAGTGCACACCGTTATCAAGGTGTTGATATGCCGCAATGGACCCAGCCATCATTCCTGTGTTCTTTTGCATTGTCCCACCGCATTTCTTTTCTTGTCATGTTCCATTCACACCCATGCAAGGACTTTTTGCCCAAGCGCACTGGCTTCTTGTTTCTCTGCTTGGGCTGTTATAAACTTTCTGAATCTGTGTTTTTTGCGATTTCAGATGTGGGAACTGCAGGAAGCTCAAGCATCCTGGAACCAGATCGCAGCAAGGGCGTATCAACAGACCCATCGAAACATGCTGACAATCAACAAAGGAGCAGGTCGTTGCCTGGCCAGAAGTCTCAAAATGCGCCGGAGAGCGAGAGGCACAGCAGTGCTGCCCCTACAGGGCCATCGTCTGGGACTGGTTGGACGTTGGAAAGGGACTCAGTGACGGCAGATCCCACTGCTCCGAAGGCATTTAAGAGGTCTGGAAGCATGGGGATGGCGGCTTCTGTCTCTGCTGCACCCTCTGTGACAGCACCAGTAGCAGCTGTGTCATCGGATAGGGTGGTGTGCGCAAATCCGGTGGGCCAGTCGGGCATGTTGCCAGCAGTGAGCTCAATGATGAGTGGGCTTCCAAACCTTGTGGCAGGGCCACAAAAGGCGATGGAGAGCAGCAGTGTGAACATAGAGGGGCTGGTGTATCCGAATGGGCAGTTCTTTCCTGAGCAGGGGCCTGTTGGGGCCGCGCACCCAGGGCTCATGAAAGATCGGGAGCGGTTGACCTTTGCCATGAACAACTTTGACGAGAAGGACGTGTACATACGGCGGAACAACAAGTCCAGCATGTCGCTGGAGGGCTGCGGAGTTGGTGAGGCCAGCACCAGTGTAGAGGTGCCAGAAACTCAGGAAGGACACGCCACTGTGTCCCAGGTGAAGGCACCTGACACCAAGCAGGACTGGAGGTACATGAATGGCGGTTATGTGCCTTCGGCCTCACCGACGCGGCTGAATTTCCAGTTTGCCAACGGACTGCTGTGCGGCAGTCAAGATAAATCTGCAGAGTGTCACAGCAGCCAGGCCCCAGACATTGTGGCCAGCACAAGCTCCCCACGCGTGGGGCCTAACAGGGAGGCTGCAGTCGATATGGATCCACCCACGTCAGGCCTTGGGTCTGAATCCTCACAGAATCAAGCTGGGAACATGTCGAGGCCAGAGTTGAGGTCTATGAATGGTTGGCAGGCAGCTGTGGTCGCGCCAACGGCTGTCTCTACCAGCAGGGCGTCTGCCTCACAGCCCCAACCTGGGGACGCCAGGCCGCCCATGGGAGCCACTAGGGGATGGGAGGAGCCTACGAATCAGGGGAACAGGCCCAGGGTGGACGCGAGCGATCAACAGAGGGGTGGAGGCCTGCCCTACGGAATTCCACTGCCCACGAACGATCTGGACCGCTTGTTACTGCAGGCAACACCGATGCTGGAAGTCGACCCAACCAAGCGAGTAGAAAAAGCTCTTGAGGATCTGAAGCTGGTGGGTGGCTCTGCCCTGGCCTGTTTCATTGTCCTGTACCAAACCATTGCAAAACCCTGCCATCGGTCCTGAACTGGAGGGCTCCTGCCCTCTAATTCTTCCGACCAAACTTTTGGGGGTGTTTTGAGAGCAAACTCTGCTCAGGAAGCTAAGTGGCAGTCTTTGTCCATTCTTGTATGGTCGCATGGTCTGTCCTGCCTGTGCACGACAAGTCGCCGAAAAAAGGAAAGAGATCATGCAGATGGACTGCCTCTCATATGACTAATGGTGTGGCTCGCACATGCGTGCCTGTGACAAGTTGAAGACACTGTGCCCTGCAGCGCTGCAGACGGTGCCTGATCCAGCTGCTTCTATTGCAGGCTGATGTCTGGCAGTTCTATTATGAGCCCAGCATGTTTGGCCGTGAAGTTTACATCCTGGGAGGTGAGAATAACTTGGCTGACAAGTCTCCAAGATTGCTGCTCTTGGCCCCAGCTGCTGTCCAAACATCGTTCCGTGGCACTATTCCCGTGCAATATGTTTGTCAATTTGTGGCAAGGCACTTCCCAATTGAGTATCAAGGGCTGAGGGGTTCCTCTGTCCCAGCAGGCATGGTTCTGTGCATGGTTTGTGAAGACTTACACAGGATGTCATAGGAAACGGAGATGGTGTCAGCTCTTGGCAGCAGGGGATGTTGCGAAATTTTCCAAGGGAATCGCGAGGACCCGCACTGAAAGAAAGGTCGGGGCGTGCAACAGGCACCGCTTCCTGAACGAGCACATGTGGGGCCCCTGGCTTTGCTGTACAGGCTGCCCCTTCCGTGCTCAAGCAGAAACTTGTCTTCCACTTGGTGTTTGCATGCGTGTGGTGACTGCTGTGATGTTGACCTGCCAGCTTGTCGCCCCTGCTCAGGCACTCGCGGCCCCTCCATGGCCTACTTCCTGCCCTACCTGTCAGCTGTGCAGATCTTCCTCCCCAGCGACGGGCCCACAGACCCCCACAGCTACGTGTGCGAGATCAACATGTGGCCACAGCACATGCGCCTGCACTTTGAGCACTTCGAGAAGAAGCCCCCATGGTACCGTCTGCCCATGTACGACGCCGTCATGGAGCTCTCCAAGTCGTTTCCGGACCTCAAGAAACTGAAGCTGAAGAAGCTGCACCCGGCGTCCTGGTTCTGCGTGGCGTGGTACCCTCTGTACCGGATCCCGGACGCGCCGCTGGTCACGCGCTTCCTGACTTTCCACACCTTCCACCCGCCCCTGGTGAGCCCGCTGGCCAACGGGGGGGTCGTGCCATTGCCTGTGTACGGCGTGGAGTGGTACAACATGAGGGACGAGCCGTGGCTGGAGAATGTGTCAGTGGGGCCCGACGGGGCGGAGGTGGACGAGGAGGTGCGGAGTCTGATGGACGCGGCGTGGCAGGTGCACGTGAGGGACCTGCGCACAAACGCCGAGAAATTCGCCCGCGGCATCGCGTTCAAGAAGAAGTACACCTGGGAGGACGGCATGGAGGACTGCAAGAAGCACCACGATTTTGAGCATTTTTACAAGGCGAACTACGGTTAGAATGTGGCCCCTGCCAGGGTGGGAGCCTGGGGTGGGTGTGGGGGTAACGGGAGTCAAGCCACGATTTGGAGAGGGAGGGGCAGGGCGCTCCTTTGCGTGGAGCATAAAGAGGACTTTGCCGATCTTGGGGGAGGGAGATTTCGATTTTCGATTCTTGGGACACGCGCGTGAGTTGGGGAGGGTTGAGCTTTGTGTGTTTGTTAGGAGGCTTGTCGCCCTTGCAGCAGCTGTGGCTGAATAGGGCGGCAGTCAAGAGAGGGGGTCCATGCAGGCCTGGAGAATAGAGCATGGAAATTTGGCCGGGGGGGGGAGCAACACGGAGGTGGGCCGTGTGTTAGTCCACGCTTGAGGTTATTTTTTGAATTCTGGACACTGATCGGCAGTCCGTTCCGTTGTTTAGCGGCATAAATGGACATTAAGATTTGTAAACGAAATTATGAAGCTGTGCCTCTGGTGTGATAGCAGAGTGGGCAGAGACGGCAGAGACAGTCCTGTGACAACATGCGCACGTCTGATGTGGCAGTTTGCAGCATTGGGTCTCAATTTGCCACATACTTCTGATGAGCGATGCGTTGCAACGCTTTGTGCGCAGCAACGGCCAGCACTGCCCATTCGTCGTGAACAGGCTGTGCTGCTGTGTTCCGTGCCTGGCTCCTTCCCAGCCCATGCCTACTGCTGGGCAACCTGCATAGCATGCAGCCAAAAAGCACATAAACGGTTGCCAGTTATAAACACGCATCGGCAAATTCTGGCTTGGCTTCTGAAATACTACATTTTCGATGTGGATGGACAGAATCACCCCAACGAAAGTAGCATACTGAGAAAAGACATTAGCAAAGCGTTCCTGACTTGACTGAAAATATCTGTCCAGCATTCACTTCGCAGCTGGCATCTACAGATGAAAAGCAAGGATGGGATCAACGACGGTCACTGTGGCCCAGGCCGCCGGAAGGACCAGATCAGCACTTTAAAGATTGTGTCAGCACGAATTCTGTCATAATGAGACGGAGGGAACGCTTTGATCACTGTGGCCCAGGCCGCCCGAAAGACCAGAGCTGCACTTGAAAGGTGGTGTCGCCACGAAATTTGTCATGATCAGACGGAGGCCACGCTCCGGTCCCCAAGGTTCTGCAGAACGACCTGCGACCCGTGCCACGCCGAAAATTAGGACGTGCAACAGTCAAGGAAACATTTCCTTCTGTCTTCTCGGCCAGGGGCGAGAGGGGGGGCGAGGCCGCCATAAAGTACACCGCCTGGCACCCAAAGCCCTGCTCCGCCCGAGGCCATGTCTCAAGCGCCGGCCGGCGTGCTGGGGAGGCTCTGGCGCGGCTACTGCGACCAGCTGGCGAGGCGGCCCGTGCTGTCGAGGAGCCTGACGTCGATGGCGGGCATGGGCGGGGGGGACGTCATAGCCCAGGCAGCGTGCGACGAGGCATACGATCCGGCGCGAACCTCGCGCTTCGCGGCGTTCGGATTCCTGGCGCATGGCACCCTGTGCCATCAGTTCTATAAGGCCTTGGACAGGGTAGGATGGCACATCGCCCTAATGGCAGACCCCGCGCTGTTGCCGCGATTTCAGTAGTCGTCTTCTAATCGACGCGCCGATGCTTCGGATGAATGCAGACAGGCACCGTCGCCTCTGCGGTTCAGATTTTGCCTCTGAAATTTAGTGCCCTTGCCTCATTGTTGTGCTCATCACGATAAGGCCGTTGGTGCTCGCGCTTTTGATGTGGTTCCTTTGTTCGTTGCCGGAGTAAGGTCGTTGTGGGCCACAAGACAACGAAACTGAGAATACCTGATGTCAGTAGAAGCACCTGCATAGCCGGTGTATCGCAATTCACGTTAGTGTGATGGACACATTCATTCAGTCTTGCTGAAAGACAGTTTTCAACACTCCCCACAGCTTGTCATCCCAAACAATCCCAAGACGGCGACGGCAATTGGAGCCAAAATCTGCATCGACCAGTTCCTATGGAGTCCGGCATTTTTGTTGGTGTTCTACGGAGCCATGAAGATCATGGAAGGACAGCCTTCGCAGTGGTTTGCAACCATTCGGGAGAAGTATTGGCCAACACTTGCCGTGGGCTGGACCATATGGATCCCGGCACACGTGGTCAACTTCCGATTTGTGCCACTGCATGGACGCATCCTGTACATAAACGCTGTGAATGTGAGTAACCTTTCAGTGCTGACTCAAGGAGCTTATTCAGGCATTCCTCTTCTCAGAGAACAGAAGAGGGTGGTCACGCGATGAGTTGCAGCACCCAGCAAAATTTTGTTGGCTGTGTTTCTCCTAGAGATAGCCAATCCATCTCCGACAGATATGTGGTGGGCATACAAGTGCACTTAGGGTTGAAGTGTGGAGCTCAAATCTACTGGACACACTGTTGTCAGCAGCTGCAGTGAATTGATCATATTTGAAGGGTCACAGAAATCCAACAGGCACTGCAGTACATGGGCAAACCTGCAGGTCCATTCTTTGCATGTTTGCAAGGAACCCAAGGCATTTTGTTGGGAGCATGGTGTGCAGCTGTGGCAGTTGGGGTCTCCTTGTTGCATGATAAGCCACACTTGGTGCCACTCAATCCAAATGGGAAGGTGCCACACATTTGGAATTTCTGTATTTTAGGTCCCTTTGCCATTGCTCACTGCCTAGCATTGCCTGGAACACTGCTGAAGGCATTGCACAATTATAAGGCTTCACCAGGGGGATCTGGAATCGTGGTCTAGGTGTTTCGCACGCTGGGACAACCGTTGGCGTGGTAGCTGGTTCCTGGCTGCTCCAGTTGCCTGCAGCACCATTGAGTTGCCAGTGACTTCTCTGGACCAGAGAAGTCGTGGAGACAGAGGCACGTTGGCGTTGCATTGTGGAGAGAGCAGATTGCCAGTAGAATGCAGCCTCTAATTCCCTTGTGCTGCATTCTCCAGGTGGCATGGAACTCCGTTTTGTCAACAATTGCATACTCCCAGAAACAAGGGTGATGAGTTACTGCAAAACAAGAACCGGCAGTCGACCCACATGGTAGCTACCCCTTTGGCGAGCCATTGGATAATTGCATTCCAAGTAAGCACCACGATGTGTGTATGCAAGCCCTTGGATGTTTGTATTCCAAGTAAGCACCAAGATGTGTGTATGCTGGTTCATGTTCATGCATAGTTGCTTGCATTCATCATCGTTCACCAGATCAACCACTCTGCAACTCGGAAAACCTTAAACTGCCACTGTTTAGGTGGAACTAGTTGGATCGTGCACAATATGGTTTGTGTGAGCACGTCGATATGCAGGAGCGATCAAGACAGTCAGGTTTAGCCTTGCTGGAGAGCCATGCCATGGCCATGATTTACCTTTAACTGCTATTGTCTTTGCAGAGGAATGATTTAATCAATGTAGTTCACTCTTAGAATCAACGCGGAAATACAACGCACTAGTCATGTTTTTGCAGGACAAGACAGCACCTGGCAGCTGAGGTGTTTTCCTTGACTCCAGTGAATTCATTGCTCTGCAATGCATCAGTCCACATACATCTATTGTCCATCAGTCTACATCCATTGCCACTGCCAAGCAATAAGGGGACCCATGCGCATGCAACACAGGAACATGCCCGTTTCAATTGTTGCGGCTGCCACAGGCAGCATGCAACACAATTGTCTTTGGTGCTGCACCCTTATCACAAGAGTTGCAGTGAAACGTCCCAATGCACTTGCGTGCAGAGACGCTTTTAAACACAGATAGCACTCAACTGTGTATTTGTTGCCTATCAAGCGCCCTCACAACTCGCTGTTGTGTGAATTTGCAGGGAGCAGAGACGTTGATAGTACAACAAAACAAATATGCCATGGGCAATACAGTCCGAGGCACATGACATCTTCCCACATCACCAAATATAGCCATCAACTCCATCCAAAGTGCAACACAATGGACCTCTGGACCCACTATCCAGCACTGCCTGGTTTCCTTTGCGCCATGCATTCAGCATGGATGGGAAGGCCACAGGGTGTGGCTTCGCACATCGACCTGCCTTGGACCTGTGCACGGTCCTGCAGACTGCCTGCCCATAGTTGCCAATGGGCTGCAAGTTCTCAACAGGTTTCCTGAACAGTGCCAATGACCAGCAAAGGCCCAGCACGATGTTTCTCTGGCTTGCTGCTGACTCGTATCCAGTTAAAACAGGCAGCGTCGTCTGCAATCACCAAGGGCAACAAGGGTTTGCTAGCATGGTTGTTGGAGACGCAAGCTGGTGGCATTGATTCTGGCATTGACTGAAGTTCTTGATGCTGGCTGTGTAGTGGGACGCTCAAAATCTCCTTTGATTGCGCTTGTTCTTGGATCATAGAGTCTGCTCCTGCAGCCATTAAACGACATATGGGGGTGTCCACAACCACAAACTGCAGCAGTCATTCCTTTTCCTTTCCGCTTTGCTACCAAACAGCCCTGCAGCCTATGTGTGCATGAAATCGTGAGATGAAAATTGTGTCCACAGCTTCTCATAGCGGAATAAGCATGTAAGAGCATGACTGCACCAGGAGGCAGTGAGCATCGACAGGAAGAACACACGAAGGCAAGAAAATCTGTATGTCTGCGATGCCCCATCGTGGCCAAAAGTGCTGTCTAGACCAATGGACCAAATGAGTCCTCAAGTACATTGGAAATTTTGTTGACAGCTTTGTGCCAAGTCTGCGTGTTCATGGCTCCTTTCATCAGCAACCAACACTCACACTCCACTCCAGCGGCCTCAGTCTCTGCTGCCACAACCCTCTCAATTTTCCTCTGGAAGGCCTTCCCAACACGCTGTGGCGTGCCCCTGCCATCTGCACAGGGGCGGCCTCCTGCCCCCACTGGCCCTCCTACAACCTCCTCTGCACGGAGAAGTCCATGAGGCAATACAGCTCCCCATTCGTGCAGCTCCGTGCACTTGACACTGATGCTGAAATCAGCCCTCAAAGAGCAGCAACTGATGCCCTCGCCAGTAGATGCCCCGGTGACTGAACAGACCGGCATTTGCCCTGCAACCCTGCCATCGAATGCAGGCAGGCCAGAGGACACAGGAGCTGGGGCTGGCTCCCTTCACCTCTTGCTTGAGCGATCCATTCCCTACTTCCCCCTCCCAAACTGCCCGGCCTTGGCGCCCCAGTCCCCAGCATCCCCCTCACTGCTTGGCGTAGCTCACGTTCATCGCGTGGTTGGGCAGGATCTTGAACCCCTGCAGGCCCTCCAGCGCCACGCCCGCCTGCCCCTCGTTCTCGAACTCCACGAACGCGATTCCAGGCCGCGCCTCCGCCATGCGCACCTCCTTGAAGCCCGGGAACTGCTGGAACAACATGGACAGCATCCGCTCGTTGGTGGCCTCCGGCAGGTTTTGTATGAACAGGATCTTGTTGGGCGGCGCCATGCCCTCCGCGCCCGCCGGCGCCTTTGCCCGGGCGGCCTGTGCCGCCGCCGGCGCCGCCTGGCCCGCCCGCTCCCCGCCCCTCTTGGCCGCCTCATCCCGTGCTGCCGCCTTCTTCATCGCCGCATCCTTCTTGTCCCTCGCGTACGTTCCGTCCAGCTTGGCCACGGCGTCGGATTTGGTCCTGGCGTACTGGATCCTGATCGCCTTGTCGAAGAACGGGAATCCCTGCATGGTGCGCAGGGCGTTGGTGGCGGAGGAGACGTCCGAGAAGACCACCCAGGCCTGGCCGCGCAGCCGGTAAGTGCGGGAGGCGACGATCTCCAGGATGCGGCCGAACTGGGAGAAGAGGGCGTGCAGGCACTTCTTCATCTGCTCCACACCCAGCTTCTCGTACAGGTTGTTGACGTAGATGGTCTGGTTGGGCACGACGTCCATGGCGGAGGGGGGGCCGCCCCGGCGGGCGCGGCTGGCTGGGGTGCGGACGCGAAGTGGGCCGGCAGTGGGTGAGCAACGATCGACGCTGACGCCTTGCCTGGGAGGTTGTTTGGTCGGCTTTCCGGGCGTCTGCTGCATTTAACTCTGAGCACTTTTTTTTATGACACCATTTTCTTTATGACATCATTTTTGTCGGAGGGCACTGCCGCTGAGTTTTCCAAGTTTTTCGAGTCGGGGCGCCGGTGATTGAAAGCCGTTGCCCCGCCCCTGGTGGGGCGCCGTCATCGGGAGGGGAGCAGCGGCCTTTGTGGCAGTAATTAGCCCGACAAAGTAGCAGCGTAGGCGGTGTTACGCTCCCAGCGCCAGACGGCGGGGATGTGACGAAAATGCGACATTCGGCTGCTGTTTGGTTCCTCAATAACCCGTTGCAATGTGTACGCACTGCCCACAACTGCGTTTCGAATCATTGTCCACATTTGCCCCAAAACCCCAAGAAAAATTGCCTCATTTCCGCCGCTGATTGCCATCCCCGCCCCACCAGTGCCCATCGAACTTCCTGCCAGCCTGGCACCCGCAGCGTCCAAGGTCTATTGGTCGCCTGAGCCCAAGTACTGCGCCACCCCATCCCCACCGCCACAGTGCAGTCCCTGCACCGATCAGCCGGCCGCCCGCAAAGGCGCCCGGCGCGGCGACCAGGCGTCTCAGCTACCCCAAACCGCCCCGGCTGCCCGCCCACCCCTCCCCAGATCCCTCCCAACCGCCATCTCGGCTTAAATCTCTCTCCGGCTGCAAAACATCTCCGGCGGGCCTGCCGGGCATCTGGCGCCATGATCCCCGTCCGGTCACCGTCGGGTGGGGAGCTCCCCGACGGGTCCAACCCGCGGCATCCCCGCCACCCCCGAGGCCTGCCGCGGCTGAGGATTGGTCGCCGATCGGTCGCCGGCGTCGGCATTCGGCAGAGGCGCCCTTGCGGCGCACTACCGCAGTCAACGGTGCCCATCCGCGCCATGAAGATCCTGCAGAACGGCGTGCTGGAGGTGCCGCTGAACTACTACCGCATCCTGCGTGCCCGGAAGGTGAACTCGACGGAGGTGGTGCGCCGGAACTACGAGGCGCAGCTGGCCAACCCGCCGCGCGTGGGGTACTCCGGGGACGCGCTGGACGCGAGGGCGTCCCTGTTGGAGGCCGCGGCGGAGTGCATGCTCAATTACGAACGGCGGCTGGACTACGACCGGCGTCTAGCGGGCGGCGTCATCGTGGAGAGCGTGCCGGCATCTCAAGTGCGGAATACTCTGTGTCGCCGCTTCGCGTTTCTCGCCCACTGGAATCGGCGATTCTCGCACCACCCTGCGGCTCTGGCGATGGGCGCCACAGTTTTGCTTGAAACCATCCATTTCGGCGGCGTGCTATTCCTTGCATCGTCCGCTTGTCCTCTCCCCTCCAGTCAACCTCCCCATGGGTCAGTTTCCCATTGCCGCTCCCTGCGTGAAAGGCATCCACGCATTGAGTCAGCGCGGAAAGCGCCCCAGGCGCCTTCTTCCGCTCGGATCCCGTTTGCGTTTTCAGCCTCTCTGCCGCATTCACCGCGGGGACCGTGTCCGCAGGTCGCGGGCGCCCTGTGCCTGCTGCAAGAGTGCGGTGACGTCGAGCAGGTGATCCGCATCGGCAGCGAGTGGCTGAGGCGCAGGCCGCGGTCGCCCGCATGCAAGGATGTGGCACTTGCGGTGGCCCTGGCGTACTGCGATCTGTCGGGCGAGGCCATAGCGGCAGGCGGCAGCGTGGCCGGCTGCTGCGACGACCTGGAGGCCGCGCTGGAGCTGTTGATCGAGTTCCAGGCGGCGCGGGGGCTGCAGGTGGAGATCGCGAGGACCCTGAAGGTGGGACGGGGCGGGGCGGGGGGGATCTCGGGAGCAGGGCTGGCCGCTGGTGTGGGCGTGTGCGTTGCGGGCGGTCTGGGCTCAATTTTTGGGGCGTTTGGCCCGAACGCCGTGGTTGTGAACACTGCAGAAGCGAAGCATGGCACACGAGTGGATCCCCTGCCAGGTCAAGATTGTGACCGAGAGCAGGGCTTTGGCGCATTGTCGCTCTTTGGAATGTGGTGTGGGAGTGCTCGAGTGAGATGGGGATGGCGAGCAACGCCTGTATGGGCTGTCACCATCGGGCGGTCATGCCACTTGCAAATGGGGTCTTCTCGATGGGTCAAAATTAGTTCTGCGTTGGGCAGGGGCACTGAAGGGGATCGGCGCAATTTCTGTTGCCGAGTGTGGCTTGGTGAACCTGCCGCCCATCGTTTCCAACTCTGGACTGGGTGGCTTGAGCAGGAGCTGGGACCACAGTACATCCTGGAATGCCTGGCGCTGCCGGATGGCAAGGAGTTCGAGAAGCGCAAGGCAAAGGGGATGGCGGTTTTAAAGTCATTAGCATGGGAGGCAGAGTCAGATGGCAGGCTGTCACCTTACCTGCGGCCTCGGAGGGAGTTCTTGGAGAGGGCAAGATATTACATGTCTGCTGGACAGCAGGTACGAAACCAGCTGTAAATGTCCTTGGAGAACTGAAGCCTTTCTTGCAACACATCAGCAACTACCAGGCCAGTCGCTGCTTTGTTGCTGAATTATATCCCCATCAAGTTTGAGCCCATGTCCATTCACGTGGGTCTAGGATTCAAGTATGTGTGAAGTTGGCATCCATAGCTGTCACCTGCTGCTGCAGGCAGTTGGAGACAGCCTACAATCTCTTTTCCCTGGGCAAATCGCTCCCAGTTCATCCCCAAGCAAGCACAGGAAATAGAATACAATTAACACACTGCCCATGGCACGTTGTGGACTGAGGTCCAAAATCCTCAATACCCAGTCACTCTGTTGACCAGGATTGGTTGGGCACAGGCATAAACAAGTTGCTTGCAGGACCGGGAGCAGAGGTTGCTATCAGAAAATGTGTTTATGCTGGGCTAAACTCAAACCTGGGCGTTCAATTCTGTCTGATTTCACGCGATCTTTGTTGCCTGGCACAGATTGAGCTTTATGAGGCGTGCCCCAGAGGCGTCCGAGTGCCACTGGATGAGCTCTACGACCTCGCCCTTGCCTTTGTGGCTGAAGGATACTACACCAAACGGCCACAGCACATTGTTGAGGCAGAGGAGGTGTTTCAGAAGATCTCCCTGGCCAACACCGAGGGCCTGGACGTCTCTGTCGAAATGGGTCTATGTGCTTTGCTCCTGGGAGACTATGACAAAGCTTTAGATTGCCTGGGCCTGGTTGCAGGGTCACCTGTGGCCCCTGACAGGAAGGTCCTTGAATTTGTTAAGGTGTGCGAAGAGTTGGATTGTTGGCCATCGCTCTTGCAGTTCTAAGTTGCCATATCCTGAACGCATGTGATATTTGAAACGGTGATTTAATGCAGCCAGTGTCTGTGCTGGACTATGGCAGAACATACCACAGTTTCTTGTGGTGCTGCGTGTGCTTGCTTGACATCACACCGTTGTGTATGGGCAAGACGCCTTGACTGAGCTTGGTGTACGTTAGAGAAAGGTTCAAGTGCACTTGGCCACAATATGCTGATGCATCTGTTGCTGGTAGACCAAAGAACATGGACGTTCCCATTTTTGTTGGCATAACAATAGCAACATGAAGCAACTTTTTGTGCATGTTTGCCTGCAGGCGAACTCAGTGGATGGCACTGACTTGTTACCAGGCGTTTGTGCCTTGGCAGAGATGTGGTTAAAGGACACCATCATACCATCCTACAGGGAGATGAACACTGACAAGAGCTCGCTGGGTGAATGGTTCAAGTCGCCAAGGGTGGCTGTCTATCTTCGGGTATTTTGCAAGGCCTGTTTGATTCCCACCTGTGTCATCCACTAATCTTGAACTTGGTGCCTTTTCTTCAAGCATGGAATAAAATCATTTGCTTCACTATGGACTCAAGTGGTCCACTTTGTAGAGAATGCGATGTGCCAGCATATGCCATGGCTGCAGTGGCGCTCATTATAGTTAGAATGGGTCTGCATTTCAGGGAGATCTCAGGCACTAATGATCAGGACCATGCTCTCGTTTTGGATACACCTTGTCGATCTGGACAAAGGAATCAAATAGAGGTTGTGCATTTGTGAATTTTTCCAGCTTTCTGATGCTGCCTTTCTGCATGGATTATCATATCTTCTTTGCTGCAGGTGAATATTTGTGAACTCACACATTTCATGCACCCGCGAAAAAGCGAGCTCCAAAGTGTACTCTCCAGAAGGCTGCGTTGTTGGTCTATGAAATGTGCACTTGCAACACACCACCATTGTAGATGTTAAGATGGGACACCCAGGGTGGATTTGTGATTGTGCAACCATATTGTTGGCATCATATCTCTTTTCAGCAGCAGTTGCTATCTCTGCCAGTGAGGGCCTTCACTGATCATCCTTTCTTTCAGGTCCTGGAGCGTGGGAAGGACATCAATTTGGTGAGTGCAGCTGCAGCCATCACCAGAATGTCAGGCTCTGTGGCTCGTGGCATTACCAATGCCGTGGGCTCAGCAGTGCATGGCATGGCAGGCCTGCTTCGTGGGCCTGCCATCAGAGATCCCTCGAAGGATCCCCTGCCGTACGGACAGTTCAACCTCAGCAATGTGCCACTACCCAGGACAACAGGCGGTGAACAGAATGTCAAGGACTATGGCAGCAATGGGAATGTGCAGGAAGAGAGCAATGGAGCACAGGCAGATATGACTGGAGAGCCCAGCATGAATTTGGATTGGGAAGAGGGCAGAGAGAATGGCATGGGTATGGCAGCTGAACATCTGCAGGGTTTATATCAGCTAGGGCATGACAATTCCCAAATTGGTTGGCGTGTCGTGTTTGGAGTGGCATTCATACATCAATTTTCTTACGTTGTTGATTTAGCAGTGAAGGCCTATGTCAGAGAGAAGCACATGTCCCACAATGAGCGACCCCCACAAAGCAGCACTTTTGCAATACTTTATGCCATGCTGCAGAAGACGATGGACAAGACCCCAAGAACAGCAGGAAAGATAACAGCACAAAGCAGGATTGTAAAGCATGGATTGGGGCTGAGCGGTATTTTCTGTGATTTCAGCCTATTTGCTGGCTTTGCAGCATGCTGTGGAGTTTTACTGACAACATGCTAAATTGAAGTGTGCGAGCTAGTGCCTCTTGACGTACACCATGGCTCTGTGGCAACAAACCATAGGCACAGCCTTGTGGCAAGACATAAAGTGTAGTGTATATGCCCAGTCTCCAACAATGCCTGTCAGGTGCAGGGGCCATCATTTGTCATGTTCTGACAATTGCAGTGAATGATATTATACACAGTTTGGGGCTCTTGAAGTGCTGAGGTGTTGCCGTGGTGGTGTGTGCATTCAGAGACAACCTTGGCAGATGTGCAGCAGACAAGCAGCAATGGGGCAGAGGAGGGTTATTGGTCAGCAGGAGATGGGTATGAACCTGAACGACAAATGGAAGCATACCTGCAAGGTAATGAGAGGCAAGCAGCTTGGATGAAGACTGTGCTCGTGGGGGGCGTTGTGCTGGTGAGTGCAATGCGGCAAATCAGCATTTGTATACATCTCAGTTGGGCAAGGTGCTTGGATATGGCATGGATATTAGTTGGGACAGTGACCTCAAAGCTACAAAGTGTAAATCGCTTGAGTGCATTTGTACTGAAGTCCTTGAAGCTGAAAGGTGATGGTTGGCGTCAATGTATATAGCTAGAATATCCGAAATACCGTATTTACCCGGTATTAATAGGCACCCCCTTATAGTACCCACCCCCATCTTCGGGGGTCGAAACCACATTAGTATCCATGACCCTGTGTTAGTATCCACCCCCAAACCTCAACAGAAACGAGCACAAGAGGGCTCGTTGGACTCGCCTTGGGGAAAAGAAGCTATTTTTCACGTCTTTGCTTGTGCAGCACTCTCGTTGCATGCGCTTTCGATGTGCAACAGTTGCTGCAAACAGCTCATCCTATAGTGCGATGCACTTGATGGCTGCAAGCTTCACAGCTTAAGCAGCTGATTATTTGGGAGAGGATTCGGATGGTGTCGATGAGTATTTTGATGGCTTTGCATCAGATCTGGATGTGGACAGCGATTGATTGTGAATGCGTTTCTGCGTTTTTGGTTGGGATTTCGTAATTTTGACTTGGTGAAGTGGCTGTTGCTGTATCGCATCTTGCATTTTTTCAAGCCTATTTTTGGATATTTCACCGCCTATTTTGCAAAAGTTTTCTTTGTCTACTCCTTGGATTAGGGGTCTAAACCATGTTAGTATCCATGACCCACTATTAGTATCCACCGCTCAATTTTGGGGTCCAATACACGCCTACTAATACCGGGTAAATACGGTATGATCGCCACTACTGCAAGAACCACGTTCAAAGTGATTGTGGTCGAGATATTAATTGCCAGTGAGCCGCTCACACTGGTAGGGTTTCTGCCTTCAGGATAATGTTGAATGCCGATAGCGTGCTGCAACCCTTATGACTGTGACCCAAATTGGAGAATCTATTGTAGCATTCTTTGCATCATGTCTCTCTTGTTCACTATTGGACATCCTGACCTGCAGATTGGGGGCACTGGAATGTCTTCTCAACTTGTGACTTGTATGTACAATGTTTGTGTTGCAACAATGCTGTGACATTGACAGCATTGCCCTATTGTCGTAGCACTGCTGGAACAGAATGTTCCACTTGCACTTAAAGTGATGTGCCCTTGCCCAGACAGCTGCGGTGCTGGGTTCCTTGGCTGTGAGGGCTGCAATCCCCACCATTCAAGGGCTTGCAGCATCCACTTCTGCAGGAGTGAGGAAGACCTCGCGGTCCATGTTGGTGAGCTCAATTCGAATGACGACTGGCAAATCTGCTCTTGCCTGCTGCCAGAGATGTCGCAATGCCTTCAAGTGGTGTCCTGCACACTTTCTTGTAATCCACCTGATCACCTGAAGTGGGTCTGGAGACGATTAAATGGGCATCCTGCATCTGTAGACCAGATATGTTTGCAGCTCAATTGAGCAGCTCTGAACGATCATGCTTTCCCAGTGTTTCACTCCTTCATTCTGGAGCCACCAATGGAGTGTTAATGATCGAAAATTCCACGAACTGCCCAGGGTGTGATCAGTGCCAACAAGAAAGGTGCCATAGATGTGCCAAATGCTGAGGAGCTGGTCCTGCGTTGGCACGCCATTAAGAGTGATGCAATGGGCGCTGAACATCAGATCGCCAAATTGGGCGAGGTACTAGAAGGCAATCTCCTGAAGCAATGGAGCGAGAATGCAAGCCGTGTGCAGAAGAAGGGGTGGTGAGTACCTGTCAAACCGTTGTCTATGAGAGGGCTAGGAGGGAGGGATGTGGCTTCGTTTCTCAGGGTAGCTGATGTTGCTTAAGTCAGAAAGGATTTGAGGCTTAGAGACACAATCGTTTGCACAATATGCATGCTGCGAGTTTGGCTAGGCCATGCCCTTAGGCTCCCCTATCTGTGCATGCCAGACCCTCATACAGACATATGGGAAACTCCAATACGTGAGCACATGCAACACATCTGTTGCAAGAAGAGAAATCGCCTTGCACGTGGCGCACACAAGGCCGCTGTCCTTTCCACCATGGCAGTCTCCCTGAATACACGTTTGTCGACTTCCAGGTACTGGCAGTACAAGCTGAAGGGCCTGACTGTGGATAAAGTTGGCATAAGCAGAGATGGGCGGCACGCAACGGTGGAGGCCACTATCAAGGAATCAGTGCAGCTGATGGACCAAGGACGGGTTGCCGATAAGCATGACACTTCGTACTCTGTGCAATACGAGCTCGTGATGAAAAACAACGTCTGGAAAATCAATGGATCGAGAGTTGTGTTCGACGCCTCGTGATGCGCTTGCAGCTTTTAAGCGAACTGAAGGGATGCGCAGTACACGAGTTGTAGGACCTGTGTGCATCAAAGTAAATGGGAGGTTTCGACAGCAAGGCGTGGCGTCCTCAACATTGAACACAACTGCAAATTGCCGGGCGATGAACACCTGTGGTGAGAGATTTGGTTAGTTCAGGACGATGGTGACAAAGGCTGTGAGCAGGTGCCAGAGTGTGCCATTGTGAGATACTCCAGTTGCCAGGATTATCCCCAGCATTGTTCGGCGGTGTGCTAGTGGACATTGTGTGCGCCAGTCGGGCGTTCCACCATGAGCAGCAGAAGGCGCTGCAGTGTGTCAGGTATTGGCAGCCGGCCGAATGGGTGTGAACGGGCACCGCATTGCTAAGAAACACAGGCAGGACGGGAGCAGCCTGTTGCTGCAGACGAACAAGGAAGAGCGGATATGCATTACTGGTTGGAGGCTTGCATTTAGTGTTCGCTGGACAGTTCTTGTTGGTCGCTAAATGTGGGCATGGGAGGACTCCAGCTATCGTGCATTGCCTTCAAACAGTTCGCTGAGGTACACGGAGCATGGAAGTAAAGGGGGAGGGGGGGGGGGGCTCGGCGCACTGCTCCAAGTGCGGACAATGACAATCAGTTAAGTGCGTATTGTGGGGCGAGGCGCATGGCTCGCCTTGTATCAAGACCTTTTTGGGATTTGTATCCGTTAGGGTAAGCAGGGATGATTGCGTTGTATTTGCTCTTGGGCATCGTGCAGTTGTGTGCTTTCAGTTCAAGACGACGGTGTGGATCTTCCCACTTGATCCCTTGCTGTGTGGTGGCTTCCTCATGCTCTTCGAGTAAGGGCGTCGGGTGGCATTAGGATGTCTTTGGGTATTTTGTTCCCCATGGGCGACAGCTGTGTGAGCGGTGCATGTACTGCTTTAGGGGACAGAGGGTGCCGTGTATTAGCTCTGTACCATAGAATCTTGGTCAGGTTGTTTGCTGAGCGCAACGGTTGAGATGCTTGCGGCTAAGCAGCGTTCCAGTCTTGAGCATATTGGCATGGCCTCGCGCTGCCTTATCCATACTGTCCTCTGCCGCCAAAGCGTGTCGCCTGGACGTCTTGCGAAACCACAGGACAACATTGTGGGTCGTGGTCCGATTTTCCATTGTGTAGGACGGTTGTGTGTGTTTTGCTACAGCTTCGGCCACCCCAGTTGGTCGGGGGTTTGGCGAGAGCATGAAATCCCAGATGCGTCACACTCGCATTTGCATCAGACGCAAATGCGTGCACACATTTGTGGCATGCATGCCCAAAGCACTGGATCGGATGTGTGTCTACCCCTTCCCCCATCCTGCACGTTTCCGTGCGGTAACTGAACAAGCTTGGAAGCACTCGTCGCACATTTCTCCGGAGTCACGCACCCGACATTGTTTGTGCCACCGCCATAACCTAAAGCCACGGAGGACAGCTGACCCTCAACCCAACTCCCCATCCACCCCTGCGCTGACCATCTGGGATGGCCCCAAGGATGGGGGGCCTTAACATCCAGCTTGCCCTGTGTGCCATCTCAGTTGGACCCCGCACTCCGCATCAAGTCGCTGAACCAGCCCACGGTGATTTCACACTAATGTGCATTAATTAGTGTGAGAATAAGTCAACATATTGGTCGGCAAAATGTAACGGTTCCTGGGGGAGGTAAGTCGTTGCGCGCCAGTGTAAACCACCGCGCCACCACTGCAAAAATGGTGGGACATCGCGGTAAAGTTTCTGCCATTACCTACACCGCATGCAAATGACACACTTCGCCCTATCTGGCATACCCCCCAATGCCATGTAGCATGCCCTTCCGCCCACAATTCCAGGGTTGATTTCTGAGGCCCCCCGGGCTGTCCACTGTGACTTGCGGTATTCCATGCAAGGCTTCACTTCTTTGGCGACATGCACCGGGGCTGCGAGCGACTGTCTGCCGGGCAGATGAAGCGTGGCCACCGATCAGCGCGCTTGGCTGACCAACGTGAGGCACCGGCTGGCCGACTACAGGGAGCCGGACTCACCGACAATCGTTCCTGTGGCTACCAACGATGGGTTTTCACCCCTGTGCCTACCGTTTTAACGCCCGTCAACTGACCCACAACGGCAGGCAACGCCACCGAGGTGGGTGACTGGGTGGGCGTGGTTGTGCGCCTTGCGCAAAGTGGTCTGAGTGTCCTCATTCGCCATGTGGCCGGGAGCAAATGGTTGGCAACAGGCTACCAGACTGGGGTCTTTGCGTTGTGTTTGGTGCTCCTATCTGACCAACATTCGAATTTTCGAGGTTCTGGTCTGCGGTACGGTTTGCGCTTGCACGACAACAATAGGTGGGCAAGGCCGCGCTGGATGTCCAAACAATTGTCACCAGAGCGCCCTTGAAGTTTGGGCGCCTCTGCAGTGTTGTGCAGCGTCTGAATTATCACAGCCATTTTCGATTGTTTGGCAGTCCTGCAAGTGTTTTCGCTGAATGTGAATTGATCAACCTGTTGCACAAATTTGTGCAAGAGACTGCGACAGCCTTATGCAGCACGGGTAGAGGGGCATTTCTGCGCGTCAAAGACTGGAACCATTTTGGCTAACAAGAGAATTTAGTTCTCTGTTTGTTCTTGGGTGAATAGGGCTGTTGCTGTGTGTCTTAGCCCATGCTGTGGACTGTGTTTCGGCTGGCGTCTAAGGCCGCGGCCGGCAGAGTGCCTGTGCGTTTCCTTGTCACGGGCAGTTCTCCGTTTCGAGGCACCAAGGCAAGGTCTGTGGCCCGGCGAATGTAGCAGCCCAAATTGCCGAGATTGCAATCGGTCAGCAGTCAACGGCACAGACTGTGTCCTGTACGCAATCGTGAAATTTGCATGCTGCAGGCGCTGACGAAACTGTTGCAGCGTGGCTAGGCCAGGAGGGCATGGATTTTGAGCCTTTGCGTCAAATTATTGAGGGAACCTACGAAGGTTATTTCAGTCATTGACTTCCAAGTTGGAATTGTACGAAGGTACCCTGTTTGTCCCTGCACGTGCCCTTTTGAACTCATCCGCGAATTGGCGGATAACTCCATGAGGACAAGTGCAAGGGCTTGTACGTTGGAATTGTACTGCGGTTCCCTGTGTGTTTGTCGTTCCTCAATCGTTGCTGCGCCGTGCCCGCGAACGGGCGGAAACCGACCCAAACCCCCTCAACAACGCAGACACCTCTGGGCACGATGCGCCCTCACTTGCCCCATCCAAGAAAGCCTCATGACGCAGCGTGCTGGCCTGGTGGACCGGCAAGCCGGTCGCCCAGCGGCCTATAAATTCAGCCGACGCACCGGTGTCCCCGAGGTTATCGGCGTTGCAACTCGGCATCGTGCGAGCAGCAGAAGGCGCCAGGCCCAAGACAAGAGATGAGCGCAGCTGAGGTGAGGCGCACCTCAAGAGAAAGGCCTGTTTAGCCAAACGCCGCGGCGCCGCCAACAGTGCGGATGGCTCAACAGCGAATCTGTCGTGCATCGAGTTCGAATCTCGACGCAGCTGTGTCCTGCAGGAGGTAGTTGTGGGGAAAGCTTCGGCCTGGGGGCTGCTCTGTGGCCGCGCGGCGCGCCGTGTTTGCTTTCAAATGGCTACGCCGAAGCAGCGGAGATGCGCGCGGCGGCGGGCTTTGCGCTGATTAGACTCGGCGTTCGATTCCGTGGCGTTGTCGGCCTTGAAACTTGGCATTGGCACGGAGCAGACGGTGCACTGGGCGGGGCAAGAGATGGACGAAGTTGGCGCTGAGATGTGGCCCCCAGCGAGAGAGGCCCGTCTGCCAAACAGTCCTGCGAGGCCACCAGTCCGTGCGGCTCAATCTGTAATGCAGCCAGTCGAATCTCGACACAAGACGCGTTGCTGTCGCTCCCGTGTGTGCCTCCAAGTCTTTGTGCGCGTCACCGCTGTCATTCCATGCAGACGGCGAGGGCGCTTGCGCGACAGAAGCGCAGATGCACGCGTTGTCAGGCTTGGCGCGGTTGAGACTTGGCGTTCGATTCCCCACGCGCCGCTGATGCAACCATCCGCGTGACGGCAGGTCCGATAAAACGCGGTCACAGACCAGCACGCGCGGCGCCGAGATTCTTTTGCCGTTGAGCGAGCGCCTTCCAGGAAGGCAGCGTACGCGTGAGTCCAGGCCCTGGAGCCCCTCGCCCAATCTTTGCGGACGCGCGGGCACGTGCGCTTTTCCGGTAACCGTGCTCTCCTTGTCCACTGCGGGCGTCTGCGGAAAGCCTCTGCCCAGGGGCGCGCCGGTCGTCCGCGGCGGCGCCATCTTTGGCGATGTCGACGGCGCCCCTTGCACAGACGCGCTCATTGGCAAGAGGAAGCAGGACGTGGAGGGCGACGCGGAACGGCGTTGCCGGCGGGGATGGCTGCTTGTGGCCCGTGGGTGGGGATGGGCGTGTGGGAAGGGGATTACGTGTCAACGTGCGGCAGCACACGAGTGAGATCTCTCACTTGTGTGTGGAAAGGGGCCCGCGGGAGGCCGGCGTTGGCCCAGTGTCGCTGACAATTGCCGCACGCACGACGAAAGTGGCGTGAGAGCGGCGTTTGCATGCACGCAGGCAGACGTTGGGGGTGCGGGTGACTGGAGGGTGGTGTCCAAGCGGCATTCGTTCAAAACAAGGTTCCTGGAGCAGCCGATGCTCGTGAGCATCCCGGTCTTCAGGCCGAAGCCGGGGGAAAAATATGAACTCCGAGTGGTGAGTGATCACCTTCGCTTGTGATGGCAGCACACTGCGACCAGCGAGGTCCTTCGGCTGCAGTCATGCATTTCACCGCGAGCCCCAATCTCGGTTCCCCACCCGACCTCAGACATGCTGAATGGGCAATGGGCGCGAATCTGGTATTCTTTTCCTTGCATTCAGGGGGGTGGATACCACCCTGGGTGTACGGAGCGCACCCCTCTACGCCTTCCAGAGGCCGCCAGCCAGCTCCAGGACATGAAAATGGCTGGTGATGATGAGTTCGATGAGGAGGTGAGACAGCCCGGGTGTTAATTTAATAGTGGGAAACCAGCACTTCGCAAAAATTATATCATGGGGAGTGCCTCGCCGATGCCCTGTGTCTTCAAAACCATGCAAGGCATCAATCAGTGCGCGGAATCCGTTGACTTGTGAGCGGCTTGGCCTGCATGCATCCAGAATTGCATTTGCGACTTAGTATTTTGCAGAAAAGAAAGGGCAACATGGGCAACAATCACCAAACGCTTCCCTTGCTGCCAGGTGGGAAGACGCCAGCCGGGTGGTGTAGAGGGCTGCACCTTGGTCCCGCAGGATGCCGCTCATAGCACCGAGATAGAAGCGGCAGATGATGGCGCCGCTGACGAGGAGGTAAGACGGCCCGAGCGTTTGGGTGGTACTCCACAGCATTGCGATCGCGCCGCGTGACTTGCTAGCGGCACGTTTGGGAATGGTTTCAAGGACACCTGGTGTCTTGAATCCTCTCCTTGAATGGCACTGGTAGACTACTGTACTAGCGTCTTTCAGCATGCCTTTCATTCAGGTGCGCCAAGCTAGACCTCCATTGAATGGTCCAATGGAGCCCGCAAACGTGAGGCATGCAACCCTCTGCATTTGCAGCATGGTTTTCGACTTATCAACAGGGGAAATTTCCCGTCACATGGCTCACGACTGGCGTTTCGCCAGGGCGGCCTGCAGCGTATTAAACTAGTCCTAATGTGTAGTAATGTGCACTAGACTGCTCCTATTTTTAGGCATCGCTCGTGAGATAAGCTATCCCGACAACCTCGATGTCTCTAGTAAAGACATCCAGGCTGTTGGGATAGCTTATCGCATGAGCGATGCCTAACAATAGGAGAATATTGTGTTCTTATTGAGACCCCTTCTCCAAGGCGACGCATTCCGAAAAAATCTCTGCTTGTCTGCGCATTGTCAAAATTGGCCCCCGCTGCTGCCAGGTGCAACACGAGACAATGCCAATGCATGACGACAATGGGGCAGTGGCGAGCGCGCCCGAAAGGAAGGCTCTTCAATGGGTGAGTGGCCATTTCGCGACAATGCTTCGATGCCAATTAGACAGGCGCGCAGCGAATGCTGTAAGGATCTGTATGGAAATCGCAAAACCCTCAGCGCATGGCAGAATTTCAGGGTCAAGAGTTGAATTCGTTATGGAATTGTAATTATTGTCGAACAGCCTACAGCTCAAAATGCATAGTAGGCGCGTTTGCCATTCGATGGTTGTCTGATTGACGACGTGTAAGACATCGATAGGATGACTAAAGGGCCATAGTGAAATCACCCCATATGGGATCACCCCATACATGGAGGCATGTTATTGAATAGACACTATGAAGATCTATCTTGGGGATATCTCCACAGTGGGCAATTGCTGGATTCGCTTTCGGAACAGTGCGCTTTTGTAATTGTTCGTGGGAACAGCGCTTATGCGGGAAGTGCTGAGCCGCCAATTGCTGCGCCACAGCGCCACCAGACCTTTCAAGATGGATTTCAAAATACTGGCTGACTTCCAACATTTTGTGGTGTCAGGAACGTGTGATGATGGTGGGCGGTCTAGCGGTAGCCATCACTGCTACCGTCGCCCTCGCCTGCTGGAAGGCGAGGGGGCGGTGAACCGCCACATCGGCGGGGCGCCAGTGAGGCACGAGGGATGCGCAGGAATCTCCGTAGTCTGTGCTGAGGGTGGAGGCTGCGCCGCCAACCCTTCCCATGGCAGAAGAACGAGTCCGAGGCTCGGACTTCAAGCAGTGTCAAGCGGAAATCTGCATCCTCGAGGAAATGAGTTCTTCTGTTGTACTTTCGATCACTGTGGCGTGAACTGCATGGCCTGGCAGTGGCCAGAATCTCGTTGCCCCATTTTCTCTTTCCTTCAATGACTCGCAGACTTGATAATTTTTGCATTGGGCTGGCAAGAACTGCCCCCATGAGCAGGCGCCATTTTTTGGTTTCGCAGACTTGAAGATTTTTGTATTGGGTTGGTAAGAACTGCCCCCATAAGCAGGCGCCATTTTTTGGTTTTCTTGAATGGCTCCAATGACATAAAATTCTCTATTGGGTTGATGGGAAGTTCCTTGATGAGGAGGGCTCTCGAGAGTCTGAACGTGGGGATCGATCGAGGCCTGGGCCGCATGATGGAGCTCTTGCACAAGCCCGAATACCACTGAGGAAACTGTGGGTAGCCCGAGTGGGTGGGCACGGACCTGGGGGACGCATCTTTTTGCTGATGAAACAAATGATGGATCTGCAAGCTTCCCCCTTGACTGTGCAAATCTCCTGCTTTTTCATGAATTTTTTTTAGGCAGGATGTAAATCCTTGCATTGCGGTCCTCATGCGGTGGCGACCCTGAAATGAAACGCCTCTTCCCTCACTCGCTGCCGCAGCATCGCCAAAGATGAGGCCTTATTTGGGCAGGCACATCCAAGAATGTACATGTTCAGCGCGCTTCTTGATTTGTATCAAAGAGTGATTAGCGCTACCATTCCTGCACTACAAGGAAGCCTTCTTGACATTTTCCGTCCCTCGGAAATATTGATTTCTTACAATGTTTCGTCAATGCAGCCCGTCAACATATGCTGATCAGCTTGCACGACATGCTGCGCAACTTTGCTGGCAATAAATTTCGACATGAATGTTCGTGATTCCCATCTCGTGGATCTAGTGTGTAGCTTCGCTATTTTGAGGGTTGGCCATCGATTCCGCAGTCCGCTACATTACATGGTGTAAATGCATGCATACTTTTGGCATGCAAGCCAAAGGCATGCGATTGAACACAAGCTGCTACCCAACCGGCCCCCAAACCCTCTCGCTGCCACATTGACCGGCAAGGCGTGCAGGCACTTGGTCAATTATACACGTCACGTTGCAATCCCTACTGCGATGCCAATCCAGAAAAAAAAATGGCGGGACATTGCAGTAACATTTCTGTGGCATTATGCACTGCGTGGATATAGCATCCCCCACGCTATCTTGCACATCCACCAGCGAACTCATCGGGGCATTTTCCTTTTCTTGGTGGCCCTACCAGAGGACTACCATATGGGCGTGTCCGAATTAGTGGGAACAAGGGTGGTGGCTTTACTCCACTGCCATGGACGCCAACGCCTGGACCAGCATGTCGAATGCCCTGCCCAAAAATGTCTCTAGGAGACGTTTCTCTGCAGTGCAGGCGATACAATTGTCTTGACAGTGAGCAACCAGAGTGCTGATGCACCATCATTCAAGCATTCAGGATTTGTACAGCAGGAAACAATGGGAACACGACCACTGCTGATACAACAAGCACTGCAATAGCATGGCTGATTTGAAGAGATCCTCAACACTGCTGAAAGTGCAAGCATCACACTGCCGATCGATGCTGTGCCAAGTGCACGCAATGGGGAGCGAGGTGTGCGGAGTGTGGCGATGCCCAAGCTGTTTCTGTTGATGCGCTGTCTCTTGTGCACTGCAGAATCTGCATGCTCAACTCAGCGGCCTCAGGTGGCACCTGCTCGAAGGGGAGCCACAAACAAGGCCATCACAAGCCGAATTCTGAATTGGTTCTCTGGTGCAATTGGTGGAGCAATGCTCTGTGCCCAAGTGGCAACCACCTTGGATCAGTTTGACCAGCTGCAATCAGTGTGCTTCCCGCAGGCTTTGCATTGACCCAAAGATGAAAAGAGGGTTACAGTCCATGACCCTGTCTTTTGCTCCTTCAAGATGATAGAAAGATCGCAATATCGGATGAAGACTGCTGGGTGCCTTGTCGTGCCACTCTGCAAGCGAGTCAATACTGAACAGGCAGACGCTGAAAGTAAGATGAACCAAATATGGCTGCCCTGGTACAACGTGGTTGGCTGTTTGCCTGCACATACCCGATCAGCCCAGGGCCTCCCCAGCGCTGCGGTGTCAGCAGCATCTCCCTCACAGCTCCCTTCCTCAGGAACACTGTGGCCACTTCCTTCCCTTCATTCTCCTGAAAGAGGCAAAAGTCTATTTCTCAGCAGATTGGTAAAATCAGGTAAAATCAGGTAAAAATCCACTGAAAGGGTCAAAAACATACTTCTCAGCAGGTTGTCATCAGATAACAGTTGCTAATTGTGATACTATGTGTGTCTTAATGTCAGTACAAATGGGCCACTTTGGGCACATCTGAAGTTGGAAAGTCCCAAAAAGCACACCAACACTGTTTGGAGGGCGCCCTGGACACTTGCAAGCCACAATGTGGCACCAGAAGGCTGGCATCTACTTCATTCTGCTCGTTCATTGAAGCAACAATGGCATCACGAGCAGTCACGATGAATGATGATGAGCATTCAACCCTTGTGCAGAACAAGAACTGGGTATGCGGGAGGCAGTGTGCTGTTGCTCAAATTTTGCGTGAGGTGGGGCACTTTTGCATCGCAAAAACAGTTGCAACCTGCACAGTGCACGCACTGGCCGTGGGCCACAAGCTGGGATGTGATTCCAGTTTGGCAGCACATAGTACATGGCTATAAAGTTGGTACACCATGGATGGATGGCCAATTGAAACCGTAAGTTACGAGGAATGTCCTGTGGACAGCTTATGTCTTCTATGCCTGGGCACACAAGTCCAACGATGCTGATAGTGGCCCTCTGAGAGACAAGTGTGAAATCCTTTGCACAAATGCAATCTGCATTTCGCGGACCCACGGCCTGAAATTCAGGTTGCCAATATTCCGTCAGCTTCCAAGAAAACACCACTGAATCTAAATTTTGAGTTCTGATCTTGAACCGGAGGAGTGCTGACAAGCAGCACAACAGCCTTACCTTCAGTGCATTGGCCAGTCTTGTAAGCACAGTTCCACGGTTTCCATCTGCAGACACTGACCCGAAGGCACAGAGTTGGTCTCCGACTTCGATGCCAGCAGCCTTCGCCGGACTGTCTGCGCTCACATCATCAACGATTGCGAACGGCACCAAGCTGCCAGCCCCTGAGCACAGGCGACAGGCAGTCATGGTTATGGCGCAGCTAGCTAAAGTACATATCCATCACCCTAGCGTCAAGGATCATCAAACATACAATTGCCGCCATTCGCAAAGGTTGGATTGTGATTGCAAAATGATGACCTGGTTGGTGCTGTGACCTTTTCTGTTGTTGCATCATTCTTGGAACGTTGACAGTGTGGCGATCAGTCTGCCAAGGCTTTCTGTTGAATGGTGTGTTTTGTTTTATTCTATCATGAATCTTCAACCCAACAGTGCAATTGATTCCCCAAGATCCAACTGCCCAACTTTGCCAGCAAGTCCTCAAGTGGCTGAACCATCATTTTTGGCCAAGCCAGCGGATGTTATGCATTGCATTATCGTCAGGGGACTAAGAAGCTGGCAGTTGGTTGTGAGATCCATACAGGAAACAAGAGACAACATCAACTCAGTCCGAGAGAAGCGAGCAATCCAACTTGAGAAAACTCAGGATAGAGCTTTTCAAAAGGGCGGTAAAGTCCACAGATGCAACAAACTGGGACAACAAATGGGAGACAGGATGATTCGCACCTGATGGAGGCAAGCAGGCCCCTTCTAACCTTGGCCTTTTGGCCTCCGACTCCACCAGGAGCCCACCCTCTCTGCAAAGCAGACAACCAAGGATCAAACACAGTGCCATTTTGTCAGCTGATGAGTGCACTTCGTTCCTGAGGTACAAATGACTGGAGTTGGAGTACAAACAACCGGCAGCTGGCTTGCGACCATGTCCCCAGATCCAACATGGCTTTCATTCTTCTTCCTACTTCGGAAAGTACTAGGAAGTATTTTTCCTGTCCCCATTTTTAATTCCTACCAGTTTGGGTGGTCTTGCCGCCCAAGACATCCAAGACCCCGCCGCAAACAGCACGTGCCACGTCCCAACCGTGCTGCTCGAATCCTCGAGGACACACCGAACATGTCGTGCGCATGGTGTCAAAGATCCAAATGAGATCCATGGAATTCAAACGCACCGAGCTTCGGCGTGCAGCTGGTGCATCTGGCGCTCGATGCGCGCCGTCAGCTGCTTGTGGTCGTTCATCAGCGCCGCGAGCCTGTTGCGGTCGGTGGCCACGGCGTGCAAGTCAATGTCCGACCGCGGGTAGCCCTGGCTCACAACGCACAGGCCACATAGGTCGTCGCCACAGCAACCCCACAGCGCCCCTGCCCATCCCCCCGACAACCTCCCCCACTCCCCCAGGCAATTTTCACGCCGACTTCAAACGGAAGCGAAGAAGGATTTATTCGCTCAGATGGGAGATCCATGAACACAAAAATAGCGCAAGCTGTGAGGCGCAGCGCCATGACCGCTGCGCATCGCGGGCAGCTGGCAGCACCTCGGCGTCCAGGAGGTTCCCTCGAAGTCCGGGGCCGCCTGGGCCAGTCAGCCGGCCGCTGCGCTCCGCGATCTCCCGCTCCATCGCCTCCCTCTGCGCCATCAGCGCCTTCAGCTCCTCCTTCAGAGCCATCGTGTCCGCACACGACGCGCACGCCCTCGTGCGGCGACAGCGGGGGTCCACTGGGGCAGGCCGGGTGGGCAAAAGGTGGCAAGCCAAAGGCGAGACACGCGGAGCAATGCACAACCAGGTCGACAGCCAAGTCGCTCTGCTTTCCAGAGCATTGTCGTCCGAATCCTTGTGGTACATTATGCACAACCCCCAAGTCCTTACAACTGGGAATGCTTGCAGCCCAGAAGAGAACAGTGCTCTGCTATTTATTTTCCCAATTCATTGGTACTTGCACCAATAAATTATTTGCCTTCCCACTGATTTTTATATATCGTCAAATTGATTCCTGTGGTAAAAGGAGTTTCTTTTGGGCTCGGTTGTGCCACCTTCGCTATTCAACCCCGGTCATTCCTCGCCATTTTACTTCCTCCAGGACCTTGGAAACCTCCTCCAGCCTTGGCTGCATTAGCACCCCCCTTTGACCCCGTTCCGCCCAACTCTCCGCGCCTGCCCCGCCCTTGCCCCGCAACTGCAGCCCGCCCCGGCGGCCAACCCACCCCCCAGCCCCCCGCCCGTGTGTTATGTTTGCCGATCCCCATCGTTGCGTTCGGTGCCGCCTGGAGCGCTGGTTGGACGCCCAGGGGCAGGGCACCGCCGGCGATCGGAGTCCGGGGTGCCGTGGCATGCTGCGGGGCCCGTACGTCGAATCCGTCGGGTGCCCCAGATAGCGCGGGATGCCCAAGGGCGCGAAGGGAAGGGGCAGAGGAGGCAAGGGCAAGAAGGCGGGGAGGGGCAAGGCGGGCGGGGAGGGCGGCCAGGCGGCCGGCAGCGCGGGCAAAAACAAGGTGGGGTCGGGGTGGGGTGGGGGGGGAGAGGGCATGGATTGCGGGGCCTATGTGTGTCAAGATGTGCTAAATCCCCGATACACAGGTCATACAATTGGGGGCTGTACGTGTGTGATTCCTCGGTTGATTGCATTGTTGCGTGACAAGGCAAATGCCCTTTGCACCAAAACTGGCGATGTCTGGCAATGGTCCCAAACACGTGTGATGCGGTGGGTGTTGTTTGGGGATGGGGATTGCCTGGGAGGAAGCCGGGGATCGAGATTGGAGAGGTCGCATTAAGGGATGAGTGATGTGTGGCTGTGCGTCGAAGACACGAGGGACAGCGATAAGGCTGCAGGGACAAGGCGTTCATTTGGGTGGGGGTGGGGTGGGGAGGGATCCCGATGCAACGCCGCCTTTGCCGTGAACAGGAGGGACACGTTGTGGGGCCGCCTGTCCAAAGCATTGGGGCCAGCTTCATGGACCTGGATGGTTGGCTTGGCTTGGCTTGGCTTCAAGCCCTGTGGGGCGAATTGATTTGTCGGATTCTTGAAATGACCAGTTGCCCTGAGGGATGCAGCGGACTCATGGGCATCAATCGTTGCAATTTGGATCTTGTTTTGAGAATTTCTCCTTCAAGAGTGCTCTTGAGCATATACATTGTGGAGGGCAAGCACACAGCGCAACAAGCCTTCTTCCCTGTTTGTGCATCAGCTGCGGAGTTTGCATGAATGCGAGCACGAGCATGGCTGTTTCTGTGAGAGTCAGAACTGGGGAACGTGGCCTGAATTGGGGAATGTTGTGTGCCTGTCGGAAGGACTGGAAGAAAGGCAGAAAATGGAAAAAGGATCTGGAAGATGACCTATTGGACATGGGTCTAAGGGTTAAACATGTCGAACCTGATGGCAACTGCTTCTTCAGGGCATTGGGGGATCAGATTGAGGTGGGAACTGTGCACGGGCACATCATATTCTGCTTTCTTTTATTGCCATTTTGAAAGGACAAACCAATGCCCTCCAGGAAGAATTGGTAATGTTTTGCACTGAATCCAAGCACATAGATTTGCTGGTGCCACACCGTTTTCGATTTTACCACTCAGTCAGTCCCATGTACGACTGTTTGGCCAGAAACAGCAAGAGGAGGAAAGCGGCACGAAAGGAGGACAGACATTGACTCACTGAGTGTTAGTGCAGATGTTGCAATCCTTCCTTGGTAACTGGTGTCCCCGGCTGCAGGGCGCTGCTGCACTGGGTTGGCAGTAGGCTTTGTATGTGACCTTGATGTGCGCACCAGAAGCTTGACCATGGACCAATCTGAAGGTGAAATAGCAACAGAATATCCCAGGTACTGAAATGGAAATGCGGATCAATAAAGTATGCGCCCTGAATTGGGAGCAGGTTTCCCATTATTACATGCCAATGCCCACTGTAGAAGTCCCATAGGATTCAAATTTCCATTTTTGACCAAAGAGATGTCCTTGCATCAGCAGTGGAACGGCCTTCATGTGTCTTTCGACCTCAGCCATGGCCACCACAGTTTGTGGTTCCAGCTCCCATGTGTCCTGAGGGCATTGTCTGCCTATTGCCTGTGGCATATGGTCAGGTGCGCCCAGCTCTGCTGCGGGCATGGACGCCCAGACATTGCCTTAGCAGTACCTAACGGAACAACAACAACTTTGCCATTGCTTGAACAAACATTGGTCTCTGGATATGACTGGCTTGACAATTCATCTGCTGGCCTGCCTCGTATGCGCTAATTGCTGTAGGCCAGCTCGTGTCCTCTTGCTATTAGTGGTACATGTGCTGCATGCCATTCCTGCTGCGCTTGGAAACTTCTGGAGTATCGATGATATTGTGGAGCAAGAGTCTCATGGAATTTGCATCCCAGCAGGGAGGTTCTGCTGGATGAAGTATTTGCCCAATCCTTTCTCTGAAGTGCAGTCCTTGCCATCTGAGTGAGGTAGAAGCTAGGACCTCTCCAGCCAGTGGTGACTCTCTTGCTTGGTATTGCTTGCATTGCCCAACTGGACGCATTGAAAGTCTCGTACATTCCGCTGTTTGCCATTGCAAGGTCAGCGCAGGCTGTTAGGTATAGGAAGCTGTCCGATCATGATCAGATCCGATCCTGTGATCAGGGGATCCACATGGAATGACTAGTTTGTTGCTCTTTGTAATGTCTTTAAGTTAACGATCCTTCGTGCATTTCCCATCACCACTGCTTCCGTAGTTATCAGGATCAACAGGGTGGAAGTTTCGCCTGTTGCAGGTGTGGTGTGGAATTCCTGTCCACTCTGAAGGACCACAATGGATCGTTTAATATTGTTTTCACTTCCTTCTCAGTATGGCATTTGCTGTGGTCACAATCGCAGGGACAGAGCAGGGCAGTGCCTGCTCAGGCATGGGGTGATTCCGGTGTCCTGAGTTTTGTTCTGTGCCGTGCATCCAGGGCGACATATCTGACCATCGATCAATACGAGCTGCTGTGGTGCAGTACATTGAAGATCACCGTCCAGAGTTCGAACCTTTCATAGAAGATGATGAGGACTTTGAGGACTATTGCTCAAGAATGCGAGAGGGGAGCACCTGGGCTGGGCACTTGGAGGTGCAGGCAGCTTCGCTGCTGTACAAGGTGGTGATTTCTATTCACAGCCTCTCTTGCTCTCCGCAATGTTCAATTCCATTGATGTCAGGCTAGTCGCGACATAACAAAGCATGCCCTTTCACCAAGCTGCCATGTAGGGCATTGCATAGTGTTGTTGTGCTCTGGTTACAACCTTCAGTGTTGACAAGCTTTTTTGCATTGTCATAGTTGTGTTCTGGGTGGCACTTCCATGGTCTCAATCTCGAAACCGAGACCTACGTCACACGGTAGGCACACTATCCAATAGTGCTGGACTCTGCCAACTATCAAATACTAGGTTGTAGTTCATTTATTCATCCTGATCGCATATGAACTAAAATCCAAAAGTGCTCAGGGGCGGCGCCTCACCACCGATGTTGGAAATCTCTTGTGATCGCATTTGCATTTCATGGCAGAAGAGTGAAATGTACTTGGAATGCGATGCACTAGTTGCAACAAGGTGGTTTGAAAGACTATTCCATTGTTAGTGGCAGATGACTGCAGTGTTGCCTTTGTCATGTGACTGCAAGCTCAGATATTTCCTGAAGCTATTGGCTCGCTTTAAGTAGTCTGGGCTTAGGTCTCAGAACTCCACTGGGAGTGTAAAATGTTCCTTTTGGTTGAATTTGGCAGGCAAACTGCCAAAGAGCATTTGTTGAAATTCCTTTCAGTATGTTGACAGGTGGACATTAACATCTTCCAGCACAATGCACCATCGTTGTGCAACAAGAACGCCACTTCCGTCCGCACGGTGCACCTGTCCTACCATGACAATGACCACTACAACAGCGTCAGGCTGGCCAACGACTTTGGCAGGGGACGCCCAGTGGCTGTGGAGCTTCAGGCGGATGGTGCCAAACCTGGGCAGGAAAATACACCTGGCAGTGAGTGGGGCCCACTCGAGGAGAAGATCGTGGCGGAGAACACAGGGTGCAAGGACAGTGGTGCTGTGCGGCTGCATTTAGAGGTGTGGCAGTTCAGTGCAAATTGGGCTGCGATTTAATGTTCCTGCAGATGACAGTACAACAAAGCTGGATACGGCTGTGGTGATGTACAGCTGTCAGTGAATGATAGAGCTACTGCGATGCCAACACAGCAGCCATCGGTTTCTCGTTAAATTTCTATTATTCTTTGTCTTGGAGCAGTCTGCAGGTTCTTTACTGTGTGCCGCTGGGGAGGTCACGAGCGGCTGGTTGATGCCCAATAGCCCAATTCTCTTATCACATAATCTGTGACGTGCAGAGAAACACATCTATTGATGAAAGGACACATGGTGGGGCACTCATGCTGATTCAGGGATATTCGAGAAAGCAGTTGGCATGCTGCACGTTTCCTTGGTAGTATGTACAAGTGGTCATATCACACTCATTGTTGGTCGTTGGTGAGTGACGAATTGCGGATGCTAATAGTGTTCGAGGGAGAGTGCTTACGTAATTGGCCTCAGGAGATTGTTACCTTTAGCAAACCTATTTTTGCGTTAGACAGACGGTCTCTGCGTGCCGTTGTCAGTCAGTGATCTTTCTTTCGAAGGAATATCCTTGCTTCGCTTTGTGTGTTCAGATATTATCTTCATTCATTCTTCTGCTTCCAAACATGCAGTATGTACTAGTTGCACTGCTTTGGCGAATGGGTTTCAGTGTGTCTAACCGTAGACGATGCGATGGACGGAGTTATTCTGTCATCATTGAGACATTCATGTGCGCAATCAGCTTAAACGCTCCCACCAGCATGGGATTCACCTGTGAACGCTGTTGCATAATTTTTATCTTCATGTACATCAGCAGAATACTTGTGTCTGGTTGCAGGCTTGCGGTGGCGATGTGGACCGCGCGGTGGAGCGAATCATCAGCTGGATGAACAGCCAAATCGACAAAGATGAGCAGCCGTCCGGGAGCAATGGGAAATGCATGTCCCAAAAAGCGGATGCTGGCGGCGTCGATGGTGGAAGTGGTGGCAATGGCAACCTGCTGCAAGAAGAGTCCACGTTAGACGCAGCAGCACTTGAAGCGCATGTGTTCAACGATGAACTACCGCTGGGGTCGTTGTTTGTAGACGAATCTGAGGACGGGGTGCGTGTGGAGGATGCAGAAAATGCAGAGGGTGCAGAAGATGCAGATGTAGAAAATACAGAACTTACTGAGAAGGCACAGAATACTGAGACCGCAAAGCGAGAGGAGAGGAAAGAAGGCGGCGTGGAAGGGGATGGAAAAGGTAACCAGATGCCTTATACCATGTCAAGTCAGCCTGTGCACTGCGGCTTTGACTGTACCACAAGCAGCTCCCCTGCGGGTTGTCGATGCGTTTTCTATTCCAAAGCATGCTGAAAAGAACCGAGACGCCGTCCAACAGAGGACATTTGTGCCATCTCGCAAGAGCGCCCAAGGCAATGTAGTGACCAGAGAATGATGGGATGAAATGAGCGCAGAATCCCAAACTTCAGCAACCCAGTGTTGTGCTGTTCCAGTTGGTACAGCTGGTACGATTGATAAGATGCGATGCGATCTGTGAAGTTACGCAAAATTGCAGTGCGATTGGCTCCGTGTGTCCCTGTCCGTGTGGCAGTCCGTGTCGCCAGCCGCAGGACTTGCTGCAGCCACTTGGCCTTGGCTGCTGGATTCATCGTGTTTGTTGTGGCGTCAGGCGGAGAGAAGCAGTCCCCCAAGGCAGCGAATGGGGGCCCCAGCGGGAGGTCGGCCAAAGGCAATTGGAATTCCAAGCCCTCGAACAACAAACCTTGCCCTTGTGGCAGCCGCCGCAAATACAAGAACTGCTGCAAGACCCGGGATTTGGCGCGGATCAGGAGGCAGAGAGCGAGGGAGGAGATGGGCATCGAGGATGGCGGAGCTGACGAGAAGCGGCTGAGCATGTTGTACATATAGGAAAGGCGTTGCACTTTGTCTAGAGCTTCTCTCTTTTCTTGCTTGGGCATGTGAAGCAGGGATGCCGTTTTTGGATCCAGAGTGTGACAACTGTGTGACAGACTGCTGTAGCATTGAATTGATCTGCCACACGGCAAGTGTGGGACGATTGGCCTTCAGCCGATCGCTCCCTGTCCTCCAGTGCTGTTGTCTTTGGTGCTCTACCGTGCCGTCGGCCATCAGGTGTGCACTACGGACCCCCCACCAACCAAGAGAAAAAAAAAGCCCCACTGCTGATGTAGTTGAGTGCCACACGTTCCCGGTTAGCACTGCAGCACTCCCGCGCAACCCTGCAAGTAAGCTGCAGTTCCATCGACATTACAATGACGACCCTCTTCCATCCAACCCCAGTGACAACCAACGACATTGGCGAGCGCCGTCGAGCTGGCTCTGCTACGCCCCCTCCCGATTCCCTCAGGCACGCCATCCAAGCCCTGATGAAACCTCCCAACGTTTTTGCGCTGCACATGCTTCTCGACAGAACCACGGGCAAGCACTACAACGGCATCGTCCGAAGGTGGCCTTGTCAAACTGGCTTTCACGGCTCTCCCCTCAACACGCTGTCACACGCCCCTGTTTGGCCCTGGACTCCATAGGCACGAGCCTCGCAACATGCAGCCAGCAGAGAAATCTCCAATACACCGGCTGGGCGATTCTTGAAGGCAAGCGTCCATTGCAATCGATGCGCACCAGCAGCAGGGAGTTAAACTCAGCGGACACACGTGTCCGGCAACGGGCGTCACCGAATCGACAGCATGGCACCGACATAGGCAACTGCGCAGCTGGCGCATCTTTCAGGCCCGCATACTGCCGACCGTCATATTTCCATTTGGTGAGGGGATGCTGGTTTGTCACGACAATAGTTAGTAACGGACATCCCTCCAAAGCAGAGGAGATTTTATCGACAAAGCCAGGAAGAGATTCGCCCAGCACTGCGGGGTCAGTGGGGCCCAAAGTCGACTCGCCCCACTACAAGATCGCGATGTCCAGAAAGTCTCCCGTCTGGAAGTTGAGGGCCTTGAGGGTCTTGTTGTCGTCTTCGCCCGCGCGGCTGGAGTGCGTGACCCCGACCTAAAATGCCACAGTTGCAGCAGCGGCAAAATCAGCCGCCAGCTCCAGAATAACATTGCATGCGGTCTGTCCAGCACGGGCCCAAGCCCGTCGCCTTTCAGATGCAACGGAAGCGCCTTTTCACTTTTGGGAGCTGCGATGGAAGTACGAGACGCATGTACTGGCAGCCTCTTTCTGGTGCAATTTCAGCCTGTTGCTCATGCGTATCCATACCGCATTTGCAGCGCTCGCAGCCTGCTTCTTGAATATCCTGTTTTGTTGTTCAATGATCGCCTTGGGGCTGTTTGTAACCCTGTTTTGGTTCAGGGCTTGTTTCGGAGTTCTGGTTTCAGTTAAAGGTTCAAGGCCGATACACAAGGAAAAAGGACGGGCTGCAAAGGCCCAAGCAAACAGGCTGTAAACAATTGGACCCAGAAAAGATCAGCAACCATCCAGCGGACATCTGGAGCCATTACACTGTGGGCAACGCTCAATTTTCGTTGCTTCCTGACGAGTAGATTGATCAAAGAGCGGGGTGCATTAACAGTGGACATAACCCTGCAGTACAAAAGCGGGAATGCAAACAACACAAAACAGTGCTATTGTAGTGAACAGAGTGAGTAGACATAATAATATTGCTGCGGTAATAACATCGTCACTTTCATGGGCCGCACTGCAGCAACTTGGCACATAGCCCGCATTTGCTACATTCACAACCCTTAGCACTTCTACCCCTTTATGAAAGCCACTTTTCTTTCTTTTGAAAAAGCTTCCACCAAGTGATGCCCAAAGTATTTTACGCAACGAACGTCACTCTTCTGCAATGTGCAAAGGAGCTTTTGAAGATGTCGCCTACCAATCGGCTGGTGTGAACACTGCTGTTGCACCTTCAGCAGAAGGCGCCACAACACACAAAAAGTGATATCGACGAGGAAAAACACACCAAGCCAAAGTAGCATGTTGAGCGAGAATCGTGCCGCATCCCAGGAGAGCCAACATTCAAACAGACAGGAAAGGCAGGAAGGGAAGGGACGTTGTCTTGTTCCCCAATGTTGCACCTTATATACGAGCCCAAGTGCTGCACCTATCCTAATGCTCGCGTTGTGGCCGCCTTGCAGGAAAGTGTGAGGCGATGTTAAGCCAACTGTTGACGAAAATCTGCGGAAATGACGAGAATGTAGCTGAATATGTTATCATATGGAAAATGAAGCAAATGAGTAGAACTTCTCCTGTTTGATAGATTGGGCACCCATGAACACCTTGTTTGTTGAGAAACTCATCTTGTGCTCAAAAAGTAAACGTGCAACAGTCTGACAAGTCTTGCTAACTGAATTCAAACATGTTCGCTGCACACCTGCCGCATGACATTCCGCCCCTTCCTGTCTGGGTAGACGAATGCGAAAGACAGCTTGGTGTTGGGCTTCCTAGCCTCCACTTGCACCTCCTTTATGAGGTCTGTCAGTTCCCTCAGGTTGGCATCCGGCCACGTGTAGATCTGAACCTCCCCCTTGGGCTCCTGGCCCCTCTTTGCAAAGTCTTCCAGTCTGTGGTGGCCTCCAGTCTTGACAGCACAAGGGGCCCAAGCAGAGTAAAAAATTAGCCCATTTCAATGACCATGTCTACTGAATAACCAGTCATACTCAGGAAGGGGTGTCTTCTTGTGCCGTGTGTTTCCTTCGTTTTGGACGAGTGTGCCTTGTGAATCTGAGTAATGCAAGCAACTGAACCAAAACTTGACTCTTGCCATATCTAGATGACCATCAGGCAAGTGTCCCTTGCTAGAGGAATTGAACAGCTTTTCGATTCAGTCCTGCTGCAGGCCATCTCTGCTCCACACTTTTCATGTATCTCTTCAGGTTAGAATCAGGTTTTGGAACCTGAGCGCTAGTGTCCAAACTTCCAGTGACATCACCCACGCTGGTGACTTGGAAAGCTTACATTTTCAAAGGCAATGTTGTGAGCACCTGCAGCTATGAACTGCATTCTCTGCTAAGGGTTCACCACATCTTGCCCTCTGCACATTGTTGCAGATGACCACCACACAACCTCACATTTATTCCATTGGGCTGCCATGCAACAAAGTTTGTTGCATTGCTGCCCTGTTGGCTGTGAGCAGGTGCACCAAGAAGCACTGGTATGGCTGGTACTCATGTGTGCTTGTAATACTCAGGCATGGCTTGTTATGCAAGGGTGAACATGTAAGTACATTCATGGCATCTATGATTCCTGGATGAACTCATATGGGCTGGCATACTGTGGCAGGGAATTTGCTTACAGTTAGTTTGCAGCCTTTTCAATGGAACAAACGTCATCTGTAGTTTTCTGGATCAGAAATTACTATGGATCAGCTAGCACATTGCCAGCGACGTCTCTCCGCAGACTGAACACTGTTGCTTACCTCACGCTGACAAAGATGAGGATGGTGATTTGCAACATTCAAGGTAAGACATACTAACGCTAAGAGCTGAGGACAGAGGCTTGCCTGAGGCTGCTGTCGGAGCCAACCTTCCGTTCGGGTCAAAGCACAAAACAACAGCAATCGACAACCACAGGCCGCCCCCAATCTTCCGGCGCCCGTACCTTCGGAAACACCCTCAGAAGGAGCGGGCACGTCTGGATCACAAACACCCATTCCAGCGTCAGCCAGGCCGTTTTCCCCCTCTGCGCAGAGCCAGACTCCTCAGCGCCCGCAGCTGCACTCAACCGGTGGAGCACGGGCCTCCAGCGTCGGGCACGCTTGCCACGCCACGGCAGCAGCGGAAGCACCCACCTTCTCCCTGTCCAGCTCCTGCGCATTCGCCTGCGCCGGGTGGCGATCCTGGCCCAGCTGGCCGGAGCCGGCGTGCGGCAGCGGCCTGCCCGGCGGGCCGCGCCTGGGCGGGCCGGGGCCCACGTCCGCGGCAGCCTCGGCGGCGGCGCGCATCACGCTCGCCATGGTCACGCACCGTCGATCGCGGCCGCCGGCGCCGCCAACGCGGAACGCGGAAGTTCGGCTGCCCTGTTTGCGAAGGCAGCGAAGTACTCGCCCGGTCTTGCCAAAAGCACTCGATGCCAGAGACACGCGAAACAACCAAGTGCTCAGCCGGTCTTATTCAAGCACTTGGGGCACCCCTTAAACCCCCCTAAAAGCAAAAACAGCACTACTAGTACAGCACTACGGAACGCACTATTAAACACCAAACTACTGGTGGGATTGGGCGATAAGTGACCTCCGTGCATCCCCTCCTCGCTCAGAAGTTGGGCTGGTGCAGGGTGCACACAGTGCAGTGGCAGTGCAGTTGCGTCCGCCGTCTCGGGCGGCCCCCTTGAAATTGGGAGTGATCGTTTGCCAAGGCGGGGGGCGGGAGGGCCATGGCGCGCGTGGGCGGCCTGCGGCTCGTGAGGCTGGCGAGGCTGGCGCTGGGGGAAGGTGAAGGCGCGAGCCGATGGGGACGCCGTTCGGCGGTGCGGCGTCGATCGAAATTTGTCGATTTTCGCCCTTGGCTGTGCGCATCCAGAGCAATCTGGGGGCTCCCTCATTTGCGCCCTTTGCGGCTACTAGGGGAGCCACTCGCACCTCAAGTGCAGCGTGGCTAGTGGGCCCGGCGTGTGTGGGAAAGGGCCATCAACGATCACTGGTGACGTTTGCAGCTTTGAAACGTCCGGTGCAAGCAAATGGCCCTGTGTGGATGCGCTCCCGGAAAACCAATCACCACCCACCGCTAGCAAAGGGCAACAACAACCTCCAGCGATGTGGTCACGGCCTTGATGATCGATCCAATGCACAGGGGAACGACATGCATATTCACATCTCCCAGGGCCGAAATGGAACTTGTCCATGCTTGATAGCATCCGCTTAAATGTGACATTTGACATGGCAGTAGCAACGACATACATATTGAGCTCTCCCAAGGAAAGAACGGAACTTGCAATCTATGATTCCATCCAATAGAGCTGGACAAACGACGTGAAATAGACCTGGGGAGTGATGATGGCTTGTCCAGGATTATCCTCATGGCATTTTGCTTCTATTTCCTGCTTCCATTTATCAGAGACTTGGGATGGAAATGCGGGTATCAAAGTAGTTGCTGAGCTAGATCTTGGAACACACAGCCCTCTGACACTTGAATAGAACTGACGTGAACAGACTCCTACTCCATGTTGATATGCTTCGATCGCTGAATTAGATAACCACAATTCTTCTTGAGATGAGAAGGCGGCAATCGCAGTGAACCAAGGTCATTGCATTGTTTGACTACGACAGCAGAATTTCCAAACTTGGTAAATGCAAATCCTGGCTTCCCATCCAGTTCTGGGTTTATCCCAATAAACTCCAAAATATCCCCCCCCAAGGTGTTGCCCCTCATCAAGACATGTGCTAATCAGTGAGCATTGAGCGTTAGATTCAATGACACCAGGAGCAACAATCAACGGGGAATCCAGAAATAACACTTTTGCAACTTTTGGAACTTGCACCCTGTTGGCCATCTGTTCTAAAGAAGAGTCTACTGGGTACTGCTGCTTAGTGCAGGATGAATCTTTTCAACGTGAATGGACACTGCAACACCTTTAGTTTGCCAGTTGTTGCTAGGCGTAGAGTGCAGCTGACATCCATTGGATTTGCAATAGGTCTCCAACAGCAGACATGTTTCTGGACCCCATTCCAGCTGCGAGCATTAGCTCCCATCCAGACAGCAAGCCGTTATCATCCACACTCTACCATCCCCAGTCTCCAGACATTCTGGCTTCAAGCTGCCCTCCATCGTGATGATGCTGGCTCCCTCCCACCAATCATGCTTGCATCCCTGTCAGCCCTGCTGTTGGCTGCAGGCAGTGCCTTCACTGCAGCCCAGTCTGAAGCCATGTCCTGGCCATCCGTTGGAACTAGTCCTGAGATCCGGCGTGAAGAGGAGCACTTTCTTGCTGCAATCCATGAAGACCACACCGGAAGAGCCGCCGTGGTGGGAATGTTCATCCTGCCCTTGTTGTCTCTGTCCTGTGGCTATGCTCCAGAAGTTGGGATACTGGGATCTGGGGCTGCGGTGACTGTCCAGGCACTCCATGGGTTGGAGCCCTGGGAGATTGCCGTCCTTCTGTGGGGCTGTGCCAGGCTGGGCTTCTGCCCTTCTGACGAGTTCCTGGCAATCGTAAAGGCTGAGGTCCATGCCAAGGCAGAGGAACTCCGCCCGGAGGATGCTGCCAGCACCCTCTGGTCGCTGTCCATGCTGAATCGCATCGGCGAGGCGGAATGGAACCTGTTAATGAAGCGCCTGGGAAGCTTTCAGGTAGCGGACTTTGATGAAGCGACAGTGCTGCACCTGGTCCAGGCTGCTGCCGTCTATGCCAGCCTGAAGGCAGGGGCAGGTGGTGAGCCACCCCTTGGGCTGGACCCGCGTGCCAGCAAGCAGGAGATCGAAAAAGTTCTTGCACCTCTCAACAGGAAGGTCACACAGCGGTGTCTGGCATCGTACCAGGAATATGTGCCATTCCACCCGTACCTTGAGGGTCCGTACATGTGCATGCTGCACATGATGCAGAAGCTGCATTGCTTTAAAGAGCAAGGCGCATCGGGTGTGTATGGGTCGTACTTCCAGGGCGTGTCTGAACAGGACCTGCAACAGGCGCGTGAGACGCTGCGCGACACGAGGAAGCTGTCTCAGATAAAGAGGGAGCTCTTCTACCAGTGGAGGGGCAGCGAGGTGCTCAACAGCTGGCAGCAAGCACTCAATGAGGTGGTCTTCCTATTGAGTCGGAGGCTGGGCACTGCAGTCGTGCAGCCCCCAGATTGTGACATCCTGTTGCCGCAGAAGAGGGTGGTGATCTTTCTTGAAGGTAGCAGGGGACATTGGCCAAGTGTCAGTGCCAAGGCTTTGATTTTCTGTTTCTGTGTATTTACAGTGCAAGTCCCCTCCAATATGGCTGATGTACTACATCAACGGACTGTGTCAAATGCTTTTCTTTTCTCAAACAGAAAACTGGCAAACCTATGCCAGAGTTCGGTCCATTTCTTAGCGCTGAATTAGGTTCTTACCTAATCGCAGTATCATTCAAGTGATGGAAGTTGTGAAAATGCACAGAACATGAGTGTGGACGCAATGTGTGAGATGACAGAGGATTGCAAATACTTGGCGCAAAAGCGAAGTGAAACATCTAACACACATTAGGTTTTGCTGTTGGTCACAATGCCTGTAGACCACAACAATGATTATATTGGACCCCATATTAGCAATTGAGATACTTGGGCAGTGTTGACAGGCTCTCAGCCATCCAAACACTGCCTATCCAAGACAAAACAGCAATCAATAGAGCAGAATAAACGCTGGGGACCACTGTGCCCATCTTTTCTACCCAAACGAATCCTTTTGCTGTCACCTGCCATACACCTGTCACCTTTTGCACCCTGATTTTAGATTATGCACTGAAGTGCATTCTCGTTTCCATTTTGTTGGCATCTTTGGTCAGTGTGCCGTAGACATCCTGATAGTGTACTTTGGCAGCTTAACATCAATTGCAGCTCACAAATGTCATGCACTTTCATTAGTGCAGATACTTGGAGGCTGTTTGCCAACATTGCTCAGCCCTTGAATCCGATTGCTGTTACAAAAGCAATGAAGAAATTATATCTGTGTGGTGAATTCCTTGGTTAACCAATTAGCAATATCATCATCGAATTCAACCTTGGCAGTAGACGATGGGTGCAGCAGCTTGCATCGAGTGCACGTTCCAAAGGAATCACATCTCTGGTGTGCACATTGTGACAATGGCCCGGAGAAACTCAACGCCAAGCCAGAAACGCTGCTGCTACCCTACAGGTGTATGAATTTGGATTTGGATTGGATCGAGCTATTCTGGGAATTTTGTTGATGGGAGTCAGAGCCAGCTGCAATGTTTGCAACTGTTAGCAAGTATGAACAGCGACATGCATGACAACTAATGCCAGCATAAGCAGCAGTAGCCGTGAGGTTCCACAGCAAAAAGTTGTGCCAATTGCATACACTGCAGCTGCCAAATGGTCATGGACGAGAGATTGAACGATTGTGGTTCTACAGATGACAGGCCCATCGACATGGGGTGCAGCCTGCATGAGGCCTCCCAGAGCATGCTGCAGCTCTTCGGTACCGAGACAGCCATGCCATCGGCAGGCTTTGCGCAACACGAGTCCGTTGGCGTCAAGGCCTCGAAGATGCGCACCTTCCAGCGCAGGGGCTGGCGTGTTGTCACCATCCCCTTGTCAGTGTGGACTCGTGTGGAGGGTGGCCTCGACGGCAAGTTGAAATTCCTGCAAGAGGCCATATACAGTGGTAGTGCCACAGAGGGTTTCAGTTCGATGCTGCAGTCGGCATTGAGTCGATGACAGGGTGTAGTGGACCTCAGTTTTGCGCTCGCATGGCTTTGATGCGGATTCTTCAAATGCACTTGAGAGGAACTCTGTGGGGCCAGGGGGAAGGCGAATTCTTGAGATGGTGTGGAGGGATGGAGAGCCGCACATGTGGACCTGTAGACTGCCATTTTATGCTGGCTTCCCTTACAGGAGCTGCGTTTAGATGTCGTGTTTTGATCCGAGCGCAGCGCCACACCGCTACCTTGGCATGTGGTTGTCGAAGGGGCTCCTGTGGGGCCTCTGAGGTCGTCCTGTTTCCCCGCACTTTGCAGAGATCCGTTGTCGGTTGTGGAATCGTGGAGGTGTTCAAGTGGCAGTCGGCAACGAGGCCGCGGTTACGGCGGCCATCGAGGCAGACACCGAGTTCGGTTCGTCGAAACTGGAAGTGCATATCTGCACTGAACTAGAACAACGCAACATACAACTGGAAGCAGCGTGCGCCTCGTCTTAGCCCATTATCAGCCATATCAAACTGTGCCACCGGCAATGCTGGCTGCGAGATCTGAGAAGATGGGTGGTCCGTCGACCCCGCACGACGGCAGATACTCAGCATGTGACCATTCATCAGTTACTGCGTCCCAGATCATAGCGCAGTCCTGCCTCTTCACCGATTGAATTCTTCGAAAAGGAGATCGCTTCTCTAGACTACAGCAGCTGTTACGACAGCACTACAGTAGGAGCACCTCCATCAATTTAGAAACTCGCAGAACCTTTATACAAAACTGGGCTGATTTCCTTGCAACTTCTGCGTTCGGGCAGACTTGCCCCCCAGAGGACCTGGGAAGGCAGTGCAGCCCCTTTCAGTATTCTTGGGTAGATGCAGGACTTGGCTGCCTTTCCGCAATGTTGAGACCAGCCGCAATGTTAAGACACTATCCTTGTACCATCACAGGGATGACGGATGGCTTTTAAATTAACAATGCCCGTTCCAAGAATGTTCGCTGAGGACTCGCACAGGCTGGGCGCACCGCGCGATGGTGACCGACAGGACGACACGTCATTTGGTGCGCTCTGAGCGACACATTAGAGACTAGGGCGGCGTCATCAACATTACACACTGGGGTTGTGAGTGCAACAGGAACATTGTCAACGTTGCGGGATTCTTGCTTTTCGGCATGTAAAGTTTGGCATGACTGAGCCAATTGCGATCTGAAACGGGCGCGATTGAGTAATTGGGAAGTATTTGGCAGTATGCTGTGCCGTGATCGTGATGAAGGTGTGATAGCGCTGCCTGGCCATTTTGTTTAATGGCCGAGTCAGCTGGCAGAGATGAACAAAAGCGTCCTATGACTAAGTACTATTGTTTGTACTGTTTTCACTACTAGGACAGTAGAAACGCTACTAGACAGGTACCAAATACAATTCACTCAGGCTACACACTTCAGCCAATGATAGTAACAAAATTCAAGTATTAGAGGTTTTCAATCCCCTCTCACTTCATGCAAAGACTCTCAAGGACATACAGAGGCTCAAGACAGCCAGCTGCCTATATTGAGATGGAGTTTCGACTAGTTCCCTCACTAACAGGTCACTCCCAACAGGGACAACATTAATAACAAAATATTTGTCAAGAGTTCGCAGAGTCACAAACAGACGGCTAACGATCTCCAGCCAGATTAGTCCACAAGCAGCCACAAACTCCAAGGAAACACAGGTGGGTGAGTGGGCAGCAGTTGCCAGCGCTCACACATTGCACACACATGCACAAGCGTTGCCGTTGTCACTTCCCACCCAAAGGGGCCGTCACGCACTGACCCCCACATCCCGTGGGACGTGAGGCACCACTCCCGGCGCTGTTTACACACTCCTGCTCGTGGCACAGCGCTCTTGCATCTCGTACACCCCCACGGCAGGTCGTGGTCGCCACACACTAGCAGCACTCACTCACAATTTGCAAATCTTACACTTCGATCCGTCCGTTTGGTCACGTCCATTCAGTCGAGAGTCACAGCACCACCACCATGACCCCCAACTTATCATCCTTGATTGTTCAATTCATTACCACCGTCAAAGTTACATCAAGATCCCTACATGGGGTTTACCTACTCTCCCGTCTCGCCACAGAACCTGTACACCAAAATACTTTCTAGTACATTCCACTAACCGTCATCCCAGTCGCCGTACCCATGTGACAATCCCGGCGCCCCTCGCTCTTCACGCCCAAGGTCTTTGTGTGCTCTCCCGCCACCTCCACCACAGCGCCACTCTCTCGTCCGCCACCGCGCTGGCTCAAAACTCACCAGGCTCCTCCTTCACGGAAGGCCCCTTCGCCTCCGACCATCTTGCAGCGAGTGCGCCGGTCTTGGCGGCCTCTCCGACCCCGCTGACCTCCTCACCATCGTGCCAAAACTCGTCATGGCCCATTGCACCGTCGCGCACGTCAACCATCAACTCGTCCCCACCCCTCGAAGCTAGCACACCGCGTTCCGCCATGCTCCGTACGTCCGAATCGCTGCCCATCATGGCGCCATCCTCGCCGATCCCAGCGCCATCCCGTGCCGACGACCTAGAACGCCCTGCCTTGGCCTGCCCCTTCAGTGGCACCATGGCGTGCAGGATGGCGTTGTCCACCGGTGGCCCAACCACCCCACCACCACACCTTGCAAGCGCTGCCTCCAGGCTATGCAATGCCTGCCGCATAGCTTCCGCGGTAGCCTCCAGCTCTGCTACGCCTCTGCCGCTCCTGCCACGTGGATGGCGCAACGAGGCACTCACCACCGCTCGCGCCTCGTGCGCAGCTCTCTTTGTCAACTGCCACGCCCTCTGCCGGGCCTACACACATCCCTCAGGCGCTGGAGAGAGCGCCCCGCTCACCCGGGGGGCTGCACCTCGTGCCGGTGCGATTGGCGTCTAGCCACTCTTCCTTCTGGTCCGCGATACAATTCTCCAGGCCACCTAGTGGGCCAAGAACCGTACCACAATCTCTTGATACGGCCGAACCCCCTGGGTGTCCGGTACTATACTCTCTACCCTGCATAGGGCAGAGCACTGATAGGCCCCCAAGAGTGGGAACCACTTATTGGGCCCCCACTGCTTGAAGGGCCTCTGCCATACCACCGCCCACGCGGTGGCGGAGGGACGGAGAGCCATGGCCAGAACTACCGGCCAATGCCACCAAAAACACTATATACTACTTGCCAAAATAACATACAATCATTCTAAACTACAACACTCTTTTAGTGTTGTGACAAAGTACACCACTTGACGAGGTGAAACAGCTCTTTTTTTAGGTGCTGTTTGGTGGTGCGCAAATCCTTTTTTCAGGGACCAAGCATGCACTATTTTCAATAATATGCAATACATATTTATGCAGCATGTTTTGCTTTAAACCAACCCCGAAATCAGCTCAGAGAATACAGTTTCTTCTCTAGAAACTGATCCTACAACACCTCACAATCCCCCAGCTCCTGTTTTATAAGCTGTTGGGTGTACGCATCCCTTTTTCAAGGATCAGTCATGCACCCATTGTAGTCAAGTGTCAAACATGCTTTTTCAGCATGTTTCCTCTCAAGCATATCATGAACTTCAGTTTCCTCTTCAGAAACTAATTTTGCAAGCACTCACAACCTTGCAGCTCCTTTTTCCAAGAGCAGCACCATTTTTTCAGTGGTAAACACAAACCATTTCTGCCCAATTTCAAGGGCAGCACCGCTTTTTTAGTGACAGCCGTATACATCCACTTTTGCAGTGGTAAACACCAACCAATGCTGCCCTACTTTAACGATAGCACCACTTGCGCAGCGGCAAGCAAATCTCAGCCACTTTTTCAATGGCAAGCACAATCTACATCAGGCCAGATACACCAAAAGGACGCACGAGCTGGAAAGAAAACTCAGCTCAGTGCCATACCTGGGAAAGAGACATCGCGGCATGTTCCCTAAGGCTGTTTTGGGTAGTATTGAAACCGTGCTCTTTCTGGCCAGTTTCACACAGCCCAATACAACAAATCCCTTTTTTGGGGACAACACAACGAGACAAGCTGTTGAACTCCTTTTCCAAGAGTTCAGAACACTACCCGTGCCTTCTCCAAGCTTGCCCTTGTCTTTCTTTGTCATGCAAATTCCAGCCTTGCCACTTGTTCAGCGGCCTTTTGCCATCGCCATATTATGACCAGCACGCAGATATCTGTGCTTATTTCAGTGACGCTTCAGAGCATCAGGATAAATTCAGCATCTAGGACCAACAAAGGGTGCGCCGGCTGTATAGTACATCAACACAACCCCATGCTGAGGCAAGACACTTCCCAACATGTTTCTTGGGGCCTAAGCGCCTGACCAACACGGCCCAAAACACATTCTATGGCCGTTAAATCAGATTCTACCCATGGCTGGAAAGAGACATCAGTATATGGGATCGAATCTGGACCAAAGTGATGTGACGAAATGGCTAGCTACACAGCCAACAAGTATGTTTTCTCCACAACATTGTTTCAGCTGTGGGTGATTGATGAACGAACGAACACATGCAGCCTTAGCCTGGAGTAATCCACCCGGGAAAGAGCCGTCAGGTGTGGGCCCAAGCTTTCGGTTGTGCATGGCCCCTTTCAAACTTTTTCAGACCAGAAACCTCTCAGCCGAGAGCGAGTGGCTTTGAGGATAGACACATGCCCCAAACTGGGCAATATCCTTGTGCAGGATGCACGGCCCCACCAGAAATTGAGAGCCGTGGTCAATATTGGTGAGGCAGCTTTCATTGAATATTGTTGCTATATAGGGTTTCGCTCAATTGCCACCAAGCTCCCCATAAGGCAAAAAATCTTCTCAATTTTCATTACCAGCTTGCTATAATGCCAAAGATACAAATACTTGATCTGTTTTTCTTTTCTTTTTTTTTTTTAGTCGGTGGTGGCATATTTGGGCCATCCCACACAGTCAAAACATGTGTCACAAGTGAGTCCCTCGCCAATTGAGTCATAAGTGACCCACCCTATGAAATGGTGGTCATTATGCAACTGTGCGAGCAGGTGCCAATAT